ATTAACAAAAAAACTACCTATTCTAGTGTGCGTTTCATAGAATTTGTATTGTTTTATTAGTATTTTTTATTAAAAGTCTCACACTAACGAGCTTTTTTTTATATAAGTCATTAATATACTTCAGGGAGGAGATAAGAGAAAAATCCATGGGCGACGAAGGAATCGAACCCATGTGACAAATCGATAAGCGTCGCGACACCCTACCACCGAGGTCTTTTTTTCCTGCTCCATTTGTTAAAAATAAAGTTATCGAGGGTTCACATATTCTGTGAAAGTAAACGCATAATACCAATAAAAAATCGTGAGAAGGCGCGATATCAATCATAATAACCTTTTTTTTTCGTTCTCTTTTGGAAACAGCACCATCCGGTCTAAACAAAGGCACGAGACTCGGGAAAAGTGTGTACACAGTTTACAGTCCTCTATTTGCAGGGATCTGGATAACATAATTGACATAAGCTTTCGTAAATGTTTGCAATTGTGGCGTTATAAACTCGCATGTTGACTCACGTTGTAACTACTGAAAACGAAGTTCTTATCTCTCGTTCAAAATGCTAACATCGATGCAAAAGCAACAATTCATTTTACAATATATACTGAATAATCTCGAATAATCCTCGAAGCTTCCAAAACTCGTCAATACCTCTATCAATAATACAATGATTTAATGGCAGATGTATGTCGACAAAGGTGATCTTAGACTAAGCCGTATGTCTAATGATGGAAATATACGCCACTTGTATAAAAACTTAGGTATACATTCACTATTTTTCGTGGTCCACTTGACCAATTAATATCATTTAATTAATTAAGGTTTTTAGTTGAGATAAAAGTCAGTGTCACGAGCGGGATTCGAACCAAAATTCAAATTCAAAAGGTGGGGTTGAGATGGGAAGTTAGTGCCCGAGTGGATCGAAGTCACGATAGCTCAAGTGGTAGAGTAGGAACGTATCAAGCCGAAGGTCGTGGGTTCGAATCCCGCTCGTGTCACTGACTTTTTTTATCTCAACTAAAAACCTTAGGTATACACTTATATAAAATAACAGAATAATAATAAATAGTTAAAATATGAATACGGTTTATCAGAGTTCCTAGAATTCTAATAAAAACTACCGCCTTTTGTGTATGATTTGATAACTGAAAAAAAAGTCTTTTCAGACTTACAAAATAAGCATATTTTCTTTTTTGAGTATCAATTATTTTATTTTCTCTTGATTATGGTCATTACACTTAAAATATTTCCACTTTAAAAGTTTAGTTATTTTTTTAGTAAAATGCATATAATAGTGCGCCTCATAGCTTTTATAGAATTTTTAATAGAAATATTATAAATACATAAAAACAGATATATTTATATTAAATAAGACTAAAAAATTGCGCAGCCATGAACACCAAAAGTCAAAGAATGGTCGGATTATTGAAAAGTACGTGATGACTTGAAAAGAAATGACAGTGTATTTGTCATGAGTTCGTTCTGGGACGTTAGCACTTTTCGAAAAACCGGTTCTACCTCGTGTCCGTCTGTCTTTTATTCGCCTTATTTCAAACTTCACTTGGCAAAATCCTACCGTTTTTTATGTAATTTTTGAAAGAAAAAAAAATGATCCTAAAAATATCCGATACATCATGTATATCGCGATTTTTTCCTTCAATGTTTGTTCAGCGTGGACAAAACTTAATGAGCAATATGTGCCGTTGTCGACGTGTGTTTGTCTGAGCGTACGCATTGAAGGGAGAGAGCAAATCACCAGCAGTTATTTAAAATATGCCAAATTTGGCAGATGGGCATCATTAAAAGAACCATATCGAGGAGATATAGTCGAGCTGGAAGACACCCAAGGCTTATTCTTGGGCAAAAAAAAAAAAATACGGTTTAGAAGTGGGCCAAAATCAGGCGTTCAGACGGGTTCACCATCACCGTTTAAATTAGAGCAATGAAATATCTACAGCGTGTCCACTCGAAACATCGGCACAAACTGGCTTTACGATTATTTATATTATTAATATCGTCGATCATCATTGACAATATGTGTAAATAACGCCCTTGTACAAGTCACACATCATTCATGTCAAGAGATAAATCCATTCAGTCCACTCCTACGATGACACTATAACAAATTAACGAAGATTTTGGGCATATTTTTATTAATTAAGGAAAAAATGTGTGAATGAAAATGATAATCCAAGAATGATGAAAACTTTGTAAGCCAGGCCTTTCATCCATTTAACTCAAGTAAATAAAACTGTTGAAAACTAACTGGTTTATAGTAGGCCAATTTACCATTCAAGTGTCACCTCTACATCTCAGTGGTACTCAAATCAGGGCGTCGACGATCTCCTCGTGCTTATTATGTCACTACAAATAATCGGAGCTTAAACTTAATTCGATCTGTTTAGAAAGCCGTCAGCCTTTCGAAAACCTGATACAATTTGCATTTGAAGAGTTTCACACGACCGGCTCACCTTCGTGGCCATGGACGACGACGAAATATAAAACGGATCGAAAAAATTAATTGAAATCTTAATCCTAAACAAACAGCCATAGGCCATGGTGGTGGACTAATTTCCTTTTAGACTGCACGATTCATTTTGCAACATTGCATGTCTGCTGGAAGGAATTGTTTTCATGAACGCTTTATCGCTTAGCGACCGGCAATGAAGTTGTAATAATATTAATCTCTTCGTCACATCTCGATTCAGATAAAATTTCAAAAAAGAAATCAATTGAGCCGTATCAACACGAACGTTACGAGGTCATATATGAAAACTTGCCGGAGTAGTTTCCCCACGATGACTTCAGTCATCAAGGACTGTATTTTGATCCTTGTCCTGTATTTTATGTTAACATTGTTTGCAATACATTTCGCTCTGACTAATTCTCAAACGACGGTATTAATAAGTATTCTTTTGGATAAGAATCTTCAATCCGTCAGTTCATTATTGACGCGAGTTTTCACAATGATTCATCATGGACTCGCTACTGCTGTTAAAATGACTTGATAATTTTACGGGTTTCACACCGGGAAAAAGATCTCAACGTGAGTCAAAAATAATGTCGGCATTACATAACAAATTCTCTATCGATTCTTTTATTACGTTTTGAATGCTGAATTCGATTGGAAGATTTTTTTTAAAGAATAACGTCGCTAACTAAAAACGGGATTGATTTAGATACGAAGTAAAATCGTTTCAACCCAGTGATTGAGAGACTCCAGGTAAAGTGAAAAAACTGGAAAATGCTCATGGACACACTGTTGACTGTTCTTATTCGAGAGCAAACAAATGCTTAATTCACATCGATTGCGACCAAGTTCTAAAAATACAACAAAAATAAAATATTTAGACAAGACCTACAATTAAATTCTTATTACGGATAAGGTCGTTTTATTGAATTTTCCAACGGGCCTGTATTTAACGGACAAAAGTGCATATAATATAAAAATACATGCACGAAGTATTGATCTGCATTTAAAACGTTCTGAAGGGTGACTTAAAACGACAATTTAAACTAGCATTAATATTTCTTATATAGATTAATATTATTTGATAATTTGCAATACACATTTTGATAATTTTATTTTCTTTAAAATCCCTACACATCCCTGAGCCGTTTTTCTCAAGCGCTTTCCAATCGTTTTTTACTGAATTAAAATTCAAGGGTGGTTTGTAAGAAAATAACTGTTCGAACGATTCGAAATAAAAGTTCAGAGTGATGTTTTATTATTAATTTACATCAGAGAAAAAAATTGTATTCCTTTTGTGGTACGAGGCACCTCTGCGGCGCGTCGCCATGACCACTACGGTCACGACCGTCGCCAAGTTGCGACTGCAACATGAGACTTGACCACAGTTTGAAAGCCCTTTCACAAAGCGCAAAGCCCTCGTGAAACTACAGGTCGGCCAAAACGAAAAGGCGTGTTATATTGAAATATTACATTAGTGATGATGACGCCTGCCTAGTCACGGATAGAAAATTTATCCTCTGAAAGTTTTTTTTTGTCTTCTAGTTTAACGCACAGTATACATAAATTCCTTCAGATGGATACCGGATCGTTCTTAATTTTAATCACTGCACTATGTTAAAAATTTATGGGGTCAACTATGACAAACAGAAATAGAAAATACTTCTTTATTCTGGCCTTTCCCACCTTTTTTATGGATTGTTTAATTTTCACTTTTGTAAAACCTCTCTTTCATCATTTCTATTGTTTAATTGTTATTTTTAGACCTTTTTCTTGATACTGTTCGAATTTAGAACGTGTAATGTTAAACTGTTTATTTTCAAATATTCAAAAAACAAAACATTGCACTTGAGAATAACGAAACAACGTAGTCGAAAAAAATTTTTGAAACGTCTTCAAGAAAAAGGGTTAAAAGTGACAAAAATTAACAAAGAAAAATATTTTTTCAAAAATCGATTGTTTAGCGAGCGACAGTGATATAAAATTTTGCAAAGCAGTCCGAAATTATACTATTACAAGCTGATAGATGAAAAAAAGACTCCAACTTTTTTTGGTATATTTTTGCAAGTGACTTTACGATTATAATAAGTGGAGAAAAGTTTGTGATAATTATTTTTTTTCCTTTCTCCTACGATTGGATTAAAGCTGCCAATGCCGGATTTTGAGCAATTGGTTGACACGGTAACGGCAAATTTAATTATTTCTGTTGAAATAAGAAATGCGGAAGGGGTGGAAATGGGAGATCGGGCCCCTTTCGTCGGTGGCCGCCGGCGTCTGAGAACGATTCTCTCCACCCCCAGGCGGACTTCTATTTCCAGTCGGAATCCTTCTCGGTCCGAGTTCAACTGGGTTACTCGACGTCATTCCTCGCTAAAAATACTCGAGGCTAGACCTCGTGACGGAGGTCGGCTGCCCTATTTGAAGAGCGTAAGGTGGAAATCTACCCGGGCCGTTCGAAAGGGAAAAATGAGACCGGCTGTCGTGGCCGGTGAGGAAAGTCTGAAAAAGAGGTGTAACGGAAAGTGGGCGTGCACTCACCCCAACTCGTCGGTGTCCTGCCGAGGACGGCGCCCGTATTTTTATTGAAGACGAACAATTTCGCCTTTGTAAAAAACGGGAGTTCTTCTTCCTTGAAGGCGTACGCGCCGATCATCGGGGCGTTTTCGGGGGGAGCCTTTGCCATCGCGCCCGCTCTTGGTCTCTCGACTTTCCTTCCACCTCTTGCTGCGATCTTCCCTCTGGGTCCGCACTCACTCCCGGCTCACCGACGAACTACCGAGACACAGACGTCCGAGGAGAAAAACCGTTCCAAGCCAAAAGCGCTGTACAGTCGAGGCCAAAGCCGACTCAGGTGAAACGTGGATCCGGGTGGGGGTCCTTCCCTCCTTCCGACACTTTTTCAACCGGTATTCAGGCCTTGTACACGATCTTCGAGGCTCTCAGAGCTCCGACGTCGAGCACGAATCGCGATTAACAAGAGGGAGGACCGGTTTTCCCTTCGTTCGCTCCCGCGAGCCCGAATCCCGCGCCTCGTCGATTTTTCAAAACGCAAAGGTCAACAGGTGCCGAAGAGGTGGCCTCTATGAGAAAACGCCTCAACCTCACAGCCGATGTACAGTCCACCTCAGAGGGAGCAGCCGCCCGAGACTGTATCTTTTCCCGTTCCTCTTGACGACTGTCGGCCCGGGTCCGGGTTGGCCTATCGTCCGCAACGCGGTGCCCTTGCCGTCTCCCGCCCTCGTCGTCCTATTTTCGAACTTCCTACTCTTTACCATTACAAAATATCCAACATACTTTCACATCGATTTTACTCCTTCAAAGATCTTGGCATTCTAATGATCTATGTTTCACAACTCATATTTCTAATATTACATTGATGGACAAATTTAACGCACCACTCAATTTATATAGTTTAAAATTAAATTCATTATTTTTCTACATTAGTTACAGGAAATTAGGAACTATCGTAGTCAAAATATATAGTAAATAAAGCTTTGTTAACTTCCTTTATTTACTTTTGTACTGATTAATCACATTTGCACAAAAAGTTTAATTATGCTCTTCCATTCTGCTACGCCTAACGTTCGCTTTCAGTTTCCCTTTTCCCTTCCTTGATTTCATTTGATATTATTTTTATTCTTAAAAAACAGGTACCAAAATAAAATGGGAAAAAGAGATAAACACCTCCTTTAAAAATGACACCATATACTGGTACATAGACGGATCTAGAACGAACTAGCAGGAAGATACTGTGGCAGGAGTATTCGGTCCTGCATCGAAATTCTCAGAACCCAAGGGAAAATATACCAGTATCTTCCAAGCTGAGGTTCACGCAATCGAGAGATGTACCCGATTCAATCTGAATAAAGGGAACAAAAAAAAAATAGCTATCCTATAAGATAGCCAAGAAGCCATCAAAGAGCTAAGTTCAAACTTCAAAAAAGTAAGTCCATTAGCTCAAAGATGGTGCTGAGTTGCAAAACTAAACTAAACAAATTAGGTATGCAAAACATAGCCCATGTTTGAGAACAGCAGATGTGAGACTGCTATCCCGCTGATGGGGCATTACTCCTTTTCGGGCATAGGAATTCATCTACCAATGAGCACCTCAGACAGAAGGATAAAATTAAAATGTGGAAACAATTAAAATTACACATAGGACACAAACAATCCAACAACTTCCTAACAGAATGCATTAAAGGATGCAGGAAAAAACTGTGAATTTTAATAGGATTCTTAACAGGACCCTGCGAACTAAATTGACATGTGAAAAAGAATGGCATAACCCAACACGGCAAGCGCAGTTCAGTAAAGAAGCAGAGGAAACACCAACACATCTACTAAACTGTGGTGCTACATTTCCAGTAGGAGAAACGAGATTCAACCATTGAAACCGGGCCTACTAATCAAGTTCCTTGATGAACTAGGACTCACCGGTGTGCTTTAACAGTGGATAACTGGAAACAACAGTTCTTAAAGGGAGCAGTATAAAACTCACCCCGATTAATCTACGTCTAACACTCATTATTTACGGGTAAACAAGAATTGGAGGAAAGCCGAATATTTAATTTCTTTCGATGATCCCGCAATAACAAAGTATTGTAGTAGAAATCTTTGCATTCTTGTTTTCGTCAGCGTTCACTGTGTTTTACGTTTTTCAACGCGAAGAAATGTAACACGGTACTTAGAAATGTTTTGTTACACATGAGGTAATTACTATACGACCACCCTTAAAAATCTTTCATGCCTTATGACTGCTTGGCTGAATCGGGAAAACCTATAAAAACATGTTTATGTACAGTTGAAACATCGGAATGACATAAATTCAATGTACAAACTCACTAAACGTTGATTTTGAATTGTGGAGGCAACCGGCATAACTTAGTTTTGGGTTTCGCCTTCGGATCGCGAAGAAGATCCATCTTCTTGCTCGCCTTTTATCCGACGAAGAATTGCTCCTTCTTTTCAGCAAGATCGATTTGAAAAAGGAGATCGACGTTTTAAGCGATGTCGTGGGCCTTGTTGCCGACTAATTAATTTCCTGTTGTCTAGATCTCGCTGAGAGCCTGACTCGTGTCTTGAACACGTCAGCCGTCGGCCATACCCCGTAAACAGCTGCTTTCGAGTTTCGGTACTTTGCCAAGTCAACTGTCTAGTTATGTTTACCGAAGGGATACTGCTCTGACTGATTTCGCCCAAAGAAAGTTTCATCTCCGGTTCGCAGAAATGGTAAATTGCTTGGGTAGAGACGATTTTGTGTTTATCCCGCGGTCACCCAAGCCGGGGATGACAAAACGTCAAATTCGTGGTCCACAAGCACTGCCCGGCACGCTGACAGTTTTTTATTTTTATTTTCCAGGTTCTCATAGCGGCAGCGGTCTGCACGAAGGCCGGAAAAAGTAAGTGGGACGCCCATCGGGTGGTAGACGGACCCTGGCTTCTTCTTCGTTGACGGTTTTTTTTGTCTTTTCCAGCCCTCATCTCCAGGCAGTTCGTCGAGATGACAAAGGCCCGTATCGAAGGCCTCCTGGCCGCCTTCCCCAAACTCATGTCGACCGGCAAGCAGCACACCTTCGTCGAGACTGACTCCGTGCGCTATGTCTACCAGCCGCTTGAGAAACTCTACATGGTCTTGATTACGACCAAGAATTCAAACATTCTTGAGGACCTCGAAACACTCAGACTTTTTTCCAGAGTGGTGAGGAAACTTTTATTGTTTCACATCCCTTCTTTGTGGTTTTACTGCTTCGGGTTTAACGTCTTTCGCCAAACTGCCGGAGCAATACCTTTTATAATTCATTAGATTCCGTGTCCGATTGACCAAATAACATCTTTCAATTAATTAATCTTTATGTAAATTGTATGTATGTTATTTCAACCAATATCTTACATAAAGATTAACCTTTTATAATGTTGGTAATTGCAAGATGAACATATGAATCGGTTTGTAGCATTCAAACCACTTCTAATTTATTGTGACTTTCATGGTTTGAACAATAGATTTCATAATAACCAGGCTGTAATATAACTCTGTAACATTTATTTACAGTAAAGTCAATTGAAATTTGTACAACTTCTTGTGGGCAACCATTTTGTACACTACCTGGCCATCTTCCATATAATTCTTGTCAAAAATTCTCAGGTGTTTGTGCAATGAAGTATTCAGTTTTCTCTGCAGTCCTCGAGTTAAGTACAGTCCAACTTGTTTGGATCAGAAGCCATTTAGGGATTGAGGGAAATGATATAAATAGATAAACTAGCAATAGAAGTAAAACCGCCAGGAAAATTATAATTAAACTACAGTTAACTCTTGATAATTCAAAACCCAAAGGGCCACAAAAATAATTCAAATTTCAAGAGGAAAAAAAATCAAATTATTAAGAGTTGATAAGTTTTTAAATGTTCGTACTTAAATTATATATTCAGGTTGTCCTAGAGATAGTGTGGAAAAAATTTCGGTGATAGTATACCCTATTTGCAACAATTTCCAATGTATAGTCTCTATGTTCAGTCCGTGATGAGTTACGATTTTTTGTTTATTTTTCCATGGACTTACCTTACTTGAAAAAAGAAAAAAAATATATATATATCTTTCATGTATAAACCATAACAATCAGATCAGGGGAATGAGATAGCCATAGGATTACTTCTCCCCTATCAGACCATGTAGGATATTTCTGGTTCAACTAGGCACGTACTTGTGCTGAAGATTTAAGGATTAAAATCCTCGAAGCATCTGATGAACTTAGAACCAATTTATCCACATGAGAAACTGTAGGTGCCATGAGAAAAAGAGCATGGATGTGTCAGACGTAGTGGTCATCATTTTCAAAACAATTTGAAATCTCTAATACTTGTAAATCCTGCTATTATTTGTTCTGGATAAAATTATAAATCTTAAAAGCCAAACAGTTCTTCTTATCATCACCTGAGCCATGATCGTTTATTGCACATTTTTCAACAATTAATATACAGTAAGTCAGTAGACTCAGTAGGGGGAAATCAGAGAGGTTATGGATATTCTTATACTGTTTGGAAGCTTATTAAATAATGAACTTTTCGTGAAGTTTGGCTATCTCTAGAATCAAACATAAGGGTATACCTAATTGTATGGTGTTTGGTATTTGTGACAAAACTTTAAACTTGGTCATCATCAATGGTTAAAAGGGGATGCTTTCTACCTTCTATGTCAAAATTTCAATTTCTAAACCAACCGAACTACTTTCGGACAGTACTTTCTTCCAGTGTCATCAGTATACACATCACTCATTTTCCTAACAGTCTGAGCTGCGGTTTTTTCTTTAAGCAGTAACAACTAAACACATATTGCTTCATAACCCAAAAGGAATAAAATGGAATTACCACAAAATGCTATGGACTTATTTTACAACTCAATTGCATTAACACATTTCATTATATATAGGAATTAGGTGAATAGAGTGTCTCCGCCATTCATTTATTTATTCTATTTTATATTTGTGTTTAATCTAAGAATGTGTTGCTTTTTTCCCCTATAGATACCTGATTTTTGTCGTAGCATGGATGAATCTGAAATAGCCATTAGTGGTTTTGATTTAATATTTGCTTTTGATGAAATAGTCGCATTAGGCTATCGCGAGAGCGTCAATCTCTCGCAGATTAGAACGTACGTTGAGATGGATTCTCACGAAGAGAAAGTATATCAAGCAGTTAGACAGGTGCAGTTTTATACATGACGTACATTTATTTTGTATAATTATTTATCCTTTAATGCGTTTGTGTTTATAGACCCAAGAGAGAGAGGCGAAGAATAAAATGCGAGAAAAAGCCAAAGAATTGCAAAGGCTTAGGATGGAGGCGGGAAAGAAGGGGGTTAAACCTTCCTCAGTTCAAAGCATGGGTGGCTTTGGACCGTCATCCACTTACTCGAACCCCATTGTCGAAACACCAGTTGAGCCTTCAAATAGCTACCCTTACAATATGTAAGTATAACAAAAGAAGTTCTGGCAAAACATAATCACCCTAGTAATAATTGAAAATAACTACATAGAAATGTAATCAAAGGTTGTTCCTTTTTTAGTTTAAGTTAAATACAAATTGATTTATTAAAATTCTAATAGATCGATTCACTTTAAAAGCAATATTTGTGTGAGATGATTGTTGTTTATTAATTTGCAGGAAGTCGAATGTTTCGGTCAATGCAATGAAACTAGGGGGAAAGTCAAGGGATGTTGAGTCGTTTGTCGATCAATTGGTCTCAGAAGGTGAAAGGGTTGTTTCACCTCAGACCTCAGCTAAACCTGTAACCACCAAACTCCCGGTCACACCGATAGCGAACACAGAGGAGTAAGAAACCATCGAAACCACGTCCGGAAAAGTTGTATTTACAAGGAAATTTTGCAGGGTTCATCTCAAACAAGAGGAGAAGATTGTCGTCAAAGTCGGCCGTGATGGCGGTGTACAAACTTTTGAATTACACGGGCTAGTCACGTTACGCATTACAAATGAAAAATGGGCTCGGATCAGGATTGGGTTAGATAATAATGACACAAGAGGAATTCAGCTACAGGTAATGATTGGCTTTTGTACTGACTAGCAGTTTTACAAAATTTCCCATTAATTTTTAGACGCATCCAAATGTCGACAAGGAACTTTTTAAATCAAAATCGAAAATTGGCCTTAAAAATCCAAGCAAACCGTTTCCGTTAGATATAGACGTTGGTGTGCTGAAATGGAGGTATCAGACCCAAGACGAATCAGCCCTTCCTTTGACAAGTAAGCTAATTTTTTTATTTTCTCAACAATATTCAGTTTTAAATACAATTATAATGTTTCAGTAAACTGTTGGCCATCGGAAAATGGCCAAGGAGGTTGCGATGTGAACATAGAATATGGATTGGAACATCGTCATTTAGAACTTAACGATGTTACTATTAGCATCCCTCTCCCGTGAGTAGTATTTAAGCATATTTTAGGCTGCAGAAGTAATTTGTTAACATATTGCTTGTATTATTGTGTACAAATAATATTTAATCACACCATTTGATTGTGAACAGTTCAACAATTAAAAACCAAAAACAAATTTTAATTGACTTTTTTATTTATTTTATTTATTTTTTTTTTAAAGAATCGGTTGTTCACCAGTGGTTACTGAGTGCGACGGAGAGTACAAACATGAGTCTAGGAGAAACCTTTTGCAATGGATTCTCCCTGTTATTGACAATAGCAATAAAACTGGAGTTTTGGAGTTCTCCGCTGGCACCGCCATACCATCTGATTTCTTCCCACTAAGTATTTCTTTTGTGTCAAAAAGCCCTTATGCTGACTTAAAGGTGAGTTTTTCACGCATGTCGACATTGAGCTTTTTAAAATGCCCGCTCTTTTCTTACAGGCTGTCGAGGTCTTAATGGTCGATGATGATTCACCGGTCAAGTACTCAAGTGAAACTGTGTTCTACACTGACAAATATGATATTGTTTAATTGCCGAAATGGCTTTACAAAAAAAAACAAAAACAATATCATTAAATGTATAATACATGCTTAATTATGTAATTTCTAGAGCATACAGAAATGTAATGGAAATGCAGTTTGTAATATTTAAATGTATCTAAGTATATTTTTTAACAAAACAGTTGAAAAAGCATTCTGAGTTGTTTTTTAAATTGTTGGTAGCTTTACTTGTTTCTCTGTTTTTTATTTTTTTAAATTATACATCTTGGCAATAATACTTATTATATATACACAGATGTTTTACTTTCTTTAAAAAATTTATGTATATAAGCGGTTGGTTATTAATGGAAATGTACAGATTATCTCATTGTTTTTTTGTTTTGTTTTTTTAAAAAAGGGTAGCTACCAATGAAATGAAAGACTAGTTGATAAATTATTGATTTTATTTTATAAAATAAATAGAAACATTATTATATTCAATTACTTCAATAAAATTATTAAATGTTAAAATAAAATGGTGTATTTCGAGCCAATGTTTATTTAACACATCATGTAGTATAATTAAGTTTTACAAAAAATCCTATTAACTCATTTTCATAGTTCTACTTTAACCTGAAATTTGGTCGTTTACTATTATTCTGGTCTGCATTAGGCACACTGAAGATGACAAAATGCTGAAACACTCCTGACAGACGAACCCAGTCAGGTGGGGTAGAACAAAACGTTTGTTAATAACCAAATTTCAGGTTCATCACACCGCAGACAACATGGAAAAATCTAATGAGTAGAAATAAATATGTTATAAATGGAAGTAAAAAAGTAACACAATTTCTTTCGTACAGGAGGGCTTAATATCCAACTAACCCAGTGGATGTCACAGACGAGTGTAATACTACTTACATACATTTTTAAATACAAATAAAATATTTTTTTAAAAATATATTTTCCGTGCTATCAATTAAAATGGCATGAGACTTGAACCCAGAACTGCTAGGGTGGCAAGTACAAGTTGGACGCCCTACCACTCGGCCACCACAATATATGGAAGTAAATCAAACAAATAAAAATGAGTTATAGTTTGATTTAAATGCTCAATTGTTTAAACACAACTATTCAGTGCGAAAAACAATAATTGTGCACTGATTCTTATATTAATGTCGAGTGCAGGTGCAAAATTGACAAGGGAGAGCTGGAGTCTTCGGGATGAATCCAAAGACAGAACTGACTCTAAACTAAATATGCCACAGTTTTCCAATCTGAAATCATGGTGATTGAACGTTTGCCAGGGAAATAAAAATGATAGGAATACATTCCCGGAAGATAGCCATCTTGTCTGACAGACAGGCAGCACTGAAGGCCCTAGCCTCATGCGAGGTGAACACAAAGAGTGTTTGGAACTTCATGGAGTCCCTGGAAGAAGTCAGCGACCTGACCCTGGACATTCAAGGCATAGAGGCAATAAAAAAGCTGACATGGCCAAACGAGCCTACATGTACTCAAGGTCCCAAACTCAACCGAGGCCTCTAAAGAGGATACATCTTAAAACGGATCCTTCATAATGTAATGAGTCTGGTTGGACTCATGATAGGGCACTGGCACCTAAGAAAGCACATGCACCTGATAGAAGTACAGACAGAAGAAACACCGAAACAGATACTGCCAGGAAGAGGAGGAGGCCTTAGAACACATTTTATGTTTTTGTGAAGGTCTGTGTAGGTGCAGATTCTTGCAAGGAGAGGAAAAACTGCAAGCAATATCTTTTTTTTTTTTTACAAGGGTTCGCAACAGAAGAGGTCATATAAACCCTTAGGGTGCCGGTGTTTTTGAAAAAAAAAGCCCATTTGTAAGTATGTCAGGATAGAATGCAGGACCGCTGGATTCAAACCCGAGACCTTTACTTTACAGAGATGAGCGCCATGTCAATACCTAAACCGTTACGGCCCCGACACCTGATTAGGTGTTTACATCAGTTAATGCCAATAGGATATTGCATCAGTTCATAAAAAAAAAAAGCGTCTTGAAAAGTACACTGTAATTATAAAATATTTTCTTTCTTATGGCTTTAAAGCCCTTAATTTGTGCATACTTACAGTATGAATTTTAGCTACATACTAGTGCCGAGTCAGCTCGAAAAATTCCCATGCTTTCGGTGATGAAACGATAAATGTGCACACTGATGAAAAGTCGTTCAAAAAGTTTGCTTCTGGGAATGAGGGAATTGAAGATGAACCATGGTCTGGTAGACCTTCTGTCTTGAATGACAACGATTTGAGGGGAGCTATCAAACTCAAGTAAGCAATGAAACCGTTTGGTCAAGCTTTCATCGACTTGAGAGGATGTGGAAGCTGAGCAAATGGTAACAAGCTGCAGTGTCTAAATATTTGCCTTTCATTGCTTTCACACAAAGTAGAGACGTTTTTTAATTGGATTTTCATATGTAAAAAAAAAATTGTACCTGTGAGTAACACCAGGAAGTGTGGAGTGTGGTAGCCAAGTGGTTAAGCTGTCAGACTCTCCACTAGTAGATCCCAAGGGTTTCTTGACCATGTAAGGTCTGGGACAGGGTCGGATTTCAGTGACCCTGAATTTAGCCCCAACTCCCATTGGAAAATGAGTTTCTTTGATGGAAGAACACCGGCACACCACAGGCTTAATTCACAAGCGTCTTATGGGTTCCCAAAAATGGAGCCTGAAAGGAGTACACATAAGATGAATAGAGCTGTAGTGCTCAGGGAAACTCATCCAGTTCCTGGTATACACCACAATAAAAATAAAATAAAAACCACTGATACCAAATGACCCTGTCCCATTGATGCGAAAACTGAATATTCAACATAATTTTATGCTTTATTTAGTGGAGTACTTTTTTAAACTTGCTCACTTATTGTTTCATCACCAAATGTAGTGCAAATTTTACGAGTTGTTTCAGCCACCCTAGTACCAAGCTAAAATCCATACAATAAGCATACATGAATTTATGGGTTTTAAATCCATGAGAAAGAAAATATTTTCAGTGAACTGTTGAAGACACTTTCTCTCAATGAACTGATTCATTATTCTTTTGGTATTTCATTATGTGAACACAAATCCTTCTAATAAATAGGAATGTTGATTACCACTATTAAAACAATAACAAATGAAATACTGCATAAACCTTTTCTGATTATGGTAATTGTTTGGCAAAAAATACATAAATTAAATTTTATTCTTGATAAAATAACACTCAAACTGCAATAAGGAGTGTCTATTAATGGAGTTAATTGTTAGAGAAAGTGAAAATCAGGATAACTTAAAATGACATTCACCACAGTGAAAGGAGATTTACTACAAAACAAGATATTTAAACAAAATATATTTGTGTGCTTTCTATTCACACTTGTGTCAAACAATTGCTGAAAAAAATTCTGTTGTAACATCAACCCAATAAGGAATAAAAAAGAATATTATTTCAAAAATCGCAGGTGGAAAGGTGAACGAGTCTCCTCGTCGATTAATAAACCAGCCGACTTTCTTCTACATTCAAAACTCTTATTTCTATTTTGGTCATAACTATTTTGGCCAAATGAGCTCAAAAAGTGGCGTACGACGGGGGCTCTGGATTATTTGACCGCCCATGGAAATTTTGAAACTTTCACTTTAACGTCCACTTCCTCGAGCTTTTGACCTTTTTCCGGCCGTTTCGCCAAAACCAAAAAGCGACCATTGACAATTTCTCCTCGACAATCGTTGCACAATTCGTCCTGATTTTTCAAAAGATAAAAAAGGCGAGACGCCGCGGCCCGACGGTGGAAGGGGTGTGAAGTGTACACGTTTAGGCCCCTCCACGCCATGGGCAACCCGTCTTCGGCCTAACGGCATACCGATGAAGAGGAGCTCATCCTACCTGCATGTCCCATCATTATTTATTTTTTATATTGGGTTGTTCGGAAAATAATGCAGATTTATGATTACAAAGTAAAAAAATTGAATAAATGAATTTAAACATTTTTATTAATTAAAATACCCTCCAATACTTTCATTCTCTCAACGTGATGACACCTTCCCTCTGAATAAAATTTTGAGTCTTCATTATTAACAAATTCTGTAAACGCATTTTCTAACGACTTTTTATCAATAGGTTTTTTAATGTCGTAAGCTTGTCCAGGTGTCTGAAAAAAGGCGTAGAGGTCTGAAGAATATGGAAGGTGAGGCAAAACTCATAACCAACATCCAACAGTTTTCGTGTTGTCACATGTGAGACGTGGGGGGCCGAGAGTTGTCATGCATTATTTTCCGGACAACCCAATAATAAACACATACAATATCATCTTTACATTATACAGTATAAATTATATATGTATATATTGTGCAGGGTGGGCGACCAAGTCCCGAGGGGTTAAATGCCCGAGTAGTCTCGTACCCCGTCCCTAAAAGGTCCGGGACTGGGTCGGCTCACGTGTCCTGCGTAAACCTCTTGGACCTGTTGACAAACCCCAAGATTTTGGACCATTTAATCTCGGGGAGTGATTTGGTGATGTCCTCTCCCTCAAAAGTTTCAAATCTAGACCTAGCGTACCTATCACACTCTGCGAGGTAGTGCCGCGCCGTTTCTTCTTTTATTTCGCAAAAACGGCAAAAGGGATCTGGTAGAATACCCATTACGGAGAGGTGTCTTCTCAGTGGGTAGTGGCCCGTCAGGATACCTATCAGCCTCCTAATTCCCTTCCTTGAGTTAGAAAATAGCCATTTCGAATCTGCTGGTTTAATCTCCTTAATAAATAATAAATCATAACATCATTCCGTAATGCTGCGGTTTCGGAGAGCCTGATGACAGATGAATCCATCGCCTCTCGTCTGTTGTCCTAGGTCGACTCGGTCCTGGCCTTCTGGTATGAAGCCCTGTTTCTCTGAAGGCTGAATCACCTATAGTTTCAGGTTTTAACACGTTGTGATTATTGAATTTATTTACTTTTTTATAATTTAATATCAGGGGGCGACGGTTTAGGCGTTGACACAGCGCTCATCACTGTAAGGTAAAGGTCCCGGGTTCGAATGCAGCGAACCCGACATACTTACAAATGGGCTTTGTTTTTGGCACCGGCAGCTCGAGGGTTGATATAACCTCTGCTGTTGCGAACCCTCGTTAAAAAATTGTTGTGGTTTCAGCTTTTAATCCCTATAAAAGACAACCAGAGGGAGTTCTTTCACAGTTAATCAACAGTGAACATGACTAAAAATGAGGAAAGTAGTTGACTACAAGTTTGTAGGCATTTTTTACATGTACTTATACCTAGCATTTCCGACATCATTTACCAATAGCACAACTCGCAAATGACGCTGTACTGCCAAATTTCATCTCCCTTCCTGTGATTAGCGTGAAAAGCTCGGGGAAGAATTATTTAAATTAATCAAATGGTACAATGGAACCTTATGTAAAATAAGATTAAGGACTATTAAAAATCCGTACTCAGGAAATTTCTACAGTCCGTTCAAATCCGACCGGAAGGGGAATGCGGTGGTTCAGCAAATAGTTCCTAATACTAGCTACTAATATGACCTTGCCCGAAATTAAAGTCACAAAACAGATTTGGATATGCGTGAAACTGATTTCCACCGGCGAGTTTCCACAGTCAATTGTACCAATCCTGCCATTAAGGACACAATCCACCACCGCCACGAAAGAACTAATACTACGAAAATGATGTTAAGTTCTGTTAAGAACATTGTTAAACAGCAAGTTTCTCGCCTTTTTCACTGACAAAAATTAATATATAACTATTTTTGATTGACCAATGCGCTAATTTTGTACAAAAAGATGTTTAGATAAATAAATTGTACCTAATGTTTTCTATAATCTTGAGATTATTTGTGCCTCAATGAGAGTCTCACAACAGGGCGTATATTTTCTGTCCATATGAAACGGACGTGAGATGAATGTAAAAAAAAAAAAAAAAAAAAAAATACAGCGAACATAAATAAAATAATGAAACGTCAACAAGACATCACGATAAAAATATGAAGTTAAATAAGATTCCCCTTTTTGATAGACTTCGTGAATATAATTGTTTCCCTTCTTACATTTTTTCACAAGGTTAATTATTGTGTGATTTTCTCACAATCAATAAACTATAAAACAAAAACGCATACAAAAAACAAAACATTTCAAAAACAGACATTCACAGAGACTTACAGACCAAACAATCAATTTAACAAATTAGGCACAAAACATGCTCTAAAAAATACAAACACAATCAGACACGACGGAATGTAAGACAGATACAAAGAATATGCATGAATTCATTTAGGGACAACGAAATCAAACTACACAACTCACTTGAACAACACAGACCAGATTAAGAACATTGAACATTTGTAAACCTATAAATAAACATGAACCTGAAAAACTGGCGAGCACACAAATCAAAAACTCAATACGTCATTTACACCATTTAAAACATTATCCAATATAAAAAAGTAATAGATCGATGATCACAATGATCGTAAAAAAAATTTTATCCGTCGGACTCCAATAGGCAAAGACAACATCGAAATATTCTTTCTACGTTTCGTGCAGAACATAAACGATCTGAAATCATTGATAATTAAACAATAAATTCATTTTTTTTAAATCAGTTTTAAAATAGATTTCATGGTCAGTTAATCGTAAAACTTGACGGAAGCGTTTTCTATTTTCTTTTATTCCATCGTGGAAGAAGCCCTACTTAATCCAATTTGCTGTTGGTAGTCATTTTGAAGCAACGCCTGAGCAAGAAAAAAATTCCTTATTCTAATATTAAAACATATAAAACAGTTCTTATTAATTATTTGAGCCAATTATCATGATTTTAGTATATTAATTTTTATAGTGTAATTGAGCAGAAAATTAGTGTTCCGAGCTGGACTTCCGGATTAGTGGTATAAAAAATAGTGTTGAGGGCCTTGGTGCATTGCCACGCTACCTTTGTAACTTTTTTTCTAATAACATATTTATTATCATCTGAAAAGAGGACTAAAAAAATAATTATTATTTTAAAGTGTGTGACCGTTAATGAATGATTATTTGGAGATCGTGAGATGCGGTCTGATGTGACGTAGGTTTAGAAAAACATTTGCTTTACCGTGCCAACGTTCCGATCTTTATTGAGACCATCTTCAGGGCTGAAAGTGTTTGTTTTCTGTCTAGATGTGTCATTTCACTATGTCGTGGTGAGAGTGTATATGTTTTTCTAAACTACGTCGCACCAGATCGCTTCTCACGATCTCCAAATAATTATTTTAAAGAATATATTAGTCATTATTGTTTTATATCTTTCAATTAATTAAGGTTTTTAGGTGAGATAAAAAAGCCAGTGTCAGGAGCGGGATTCGAACCCACGACCTTCGGCTAGATACGCCGCTGCTCTACCACTTGAGCTATAGGGACCTCGATCCATTCGGACAACTTCCCAACTCAACCCCACCTTTTGAATTTTCCCTCCTTTTTGGAATTTTTCAAATGTCGTGTAATCTACTTGATTTTTTTTTTTTTTTTAAAAAGGCAAAAAGGAGGGAAAATTCAAAAGGTGGGGTTGAAATGGGAAGTTGGTGTCCGAGTGGATCGAGGTCACGATAGCTCAAGTGGTAGAGTAGCGGCGTATCATGCCGTAGGTCGTGGGTTCGAATCCCGCTCGTGACACTGACTTTTTATCTCAACTAAAAACCTTAAGTTATTGAAATTTATTAATTAGTCAAGCGGACCACGATATCTAGTGTATTTAATTGTTTTGTGTATTTTATTATGTTTTATTATTATTATTATTTTAGCATGGCTATAAAACCGAATTTATTTCTAAGATATGTATAGTAAGACGGCTTAAAGCACTATTTGTACCTTTAAGATAATATTAAATAAATTGGTAATTATTCATTAATTCAAACATTAACTAGGCCGATTGAGAACAGTGGTGGGCGGTAGTTTGCCGACTCCTGCTTTATATAACAAAATTGAAAGAGTTTTTGAATAAGTGGATGAGAGCCAATTTTGACAAAATCGCGTTGCTTTCCAGTCGATCACAAGACCACAAAATTGTCTAAATTGTCGATGTGACGGAAGATGTCTCTTGAGAAGGACGACGGCTCCACGTCGACGTGTAATCATTTAGAGAAGGGGCTCGGCGGCGACTCGCCCAACGGGCCACTGCCAGAGTGCCAATCCCACTTGCCCGAGTTGCTGTGGTCCTGTAGTGGCGTTCGACGGTTGCTACCTTCGCGACGGCAATGCGACTCTGAGCGATCGCCCATGCAGTCCGTCACCGAGTGGCTTTCCCTCTGAAGTCTGAACACCTTCAAAAGCTCAGCATTCAATCTAAAACGGCTTTTAATCAACTTAACAAGTAAGTCGGAGCTTTTTCCCACCTGAATCCTGTTCCCACCTGTTCACCCATTGAAGCGCATAAGTAGGTCTAGGACGTGGGAACGTCACAACGGAATTATGCAGAAATATTTGTTTTGGCCGTTTTCAAATGACGTTTCCAATCCTCATGACGTGCTTTTTCTAAAAGCCTATATCTTTTTCTCTGCCTCTAGGTATTAATTATGAATCCTCAAGTAGAAGTTAAAACAGAAACGTCTCCGACGAAAAAATGGGTCCAATTCGATGAAGAGTCTAATAAAGATACTAAGCAACTAAATGGTAAGAGGCTTACTTAAAATACAATAAAATATTAAAAAAATAAGGAAAAATAGTGATTTTTTTGCTTGTTTTTAAGGCTCAAGGCTTGAAACAGAATCGACTGCAGCTGTCATTCCGACGGAATCAGTGGAAATAACCGTGGACAGGAGTCTCAACAGGTCATCCGTCGAACATGACCATGTCGTCGATGTGGACCTTCATGAACCGACCAACGGGTCTGCACCGTCGACAGGTGTCGTCAGGCAGGGTTTCTGTAAGTTGACATTTTTGTACGCTACATGTTGAAACTGTTGCAAATAAAATGGGATAGTCTAATAAAAATTTTATTTCCCTGGAGACGGTTGCAAAACATAGGTGTTGATTTTTATTTCTTACACAATGGAAGTGTGATAAGACAACGTCAAATTCCGACCAGTTCAGCAAAAATAAATTCCTTAAAATAACTTCATTATCAGTGAGCTTGAAAGTGTCATCTGGTGAATAATTTTATAAGCAGATATAATTCAATAAAACCTATTAACTTCAATATTTTAAGTGTAATAAATTCATTGATTTTCTTTTATTTTAGAAGTAAAACCTTTAAAATTTACTTATCAGGTAGACTTAATAAATTATATACTTGAGGAATCTTTTTTAGGCTTACATAATTCACAAATTTGTTTAGCTTTTTTTTCATTTTTATGGTTAGGAGGCAGGAGTAACTCAGTTTGGGTCGTTGAGTGTAACACATCTGCAATAATACAAAATTAACCCCATGGAACACTTGCCCATCAACCATCTAAATTATATATACTGTGGGATACACAATAATTGGATATGATTAATTTTGTTGGCTCTAAATTTATCTACAACAGCCCAGAATATCTGTAACAAATTGAAATTATTGGCTTGTCTGGAAAATAATGCAAGTTTTCATGCTTTCTTTCAATTACCGCTCTAGACAATAAACTGTTTATGTTAATCTTTAGTACGAATGTCAACACTTTTTAATCATCTTCCAAACAAAAATGTTTGTTTACTTCAGTAGCATTTCATACGTGGAAATAATTCATCTTTACTAAGATGTCAATGCATGATTTTCACGTAATTTGGCTTTGTGAGTTTAAACTCTTTCAGAAAGTTGCACAAATGGCCAGAAACATTAATGCACTCTGGGGCAGTGGCAGTGTGATTAAGAGCAATGTTCAGAGATGGTTTAAAAATTTGGAAAAGGAGAGTTTAGCCTTGAAGACAGAGAAGGTCGTGGAAGGATTTCTTCCATAGATGATGATTTTCTGTGATGTTTGGTCGATTAAAATCCTAGAACAACTGTTCGAGAACTTGCACGGAGTTGTTCAGTTAGCAAATCGACCCTTCTTAAGGCAATTGAAAAGGTGAAAAAAGCTTGAAAGTTAGGTTCCTCGTGTATTAAACAACCGCCAAAAAAAAAAGTTATGAAGTTTGTCCAACACTTTGCCAAAACAGAAATGAACCCTTTCTGGATAGAATTGTTCCTTGTGATGAAAAGTGGATTTTCAATGATAATAGCAGTTGTTCTGGACAGTGGCTTGACAAAGGAGAAGCAGTACCTTTTCCAAAGCCCCCATTTTATTTAAAAAAAAGGTGATGTGACTTTGGTGGGCTTCATTTGGACTGATTACAGCTTCTTGAAACGTGGCGAAACAATCAATGTCAAAATGTATTGCTCTCAAATTGAAGCAATGCACCAGAAATTTTTGTTCAATCGGAGAAGGCCGATTCTGTTGCATGACAATGCTCGGCCCCACCTCATATGTGACAACACGAAATTGTTGGTTATAAGGTTCTGCCTCATCTTTCATATTTTCCAGACCTCTCGCCTACCGACTACCATATTTTTAAACACCTAGACAACATTTATGACATAAAAAAACTTGTTAGAAAATGCGTTTACAGAATTTGTTAGTAATAAAGACTCAAAACCCTTAAATTCTAATCAGAGGTATAGAGCAGTTGCCATCACACAGGGAGTGAGTATTGTAATTGATGGAAGGTATTTTAATTAATAAAAATGTTTAAAATCATTTATTTAATTCATAAACTTTTATCTTACATTGATAGTATTATTATTGTTATTCTATGCTATAGGTTGTTAAATTTTTTTTTATGATGGACTAGTTTGTATGAAAATGTGTTTTGGTTGTCTCTATCTGAGGAATAGAATGATCAAGATAAAAAATAAATTTACTTAATTGTTTTTATTTTATAATCAAACACCTGCATTATTTTCTAGACAATCTATATTATATATAAATATTTTAAATTAAAAAAACAAGATAATTTCTTAGTTTTAAATGTACAGTTGTGAAATATTTTTTAATGTGTCAAAATTCATCTAGAAAACATACAACAATTAGAAAGAATTTAGAAGCAGCAACAAGTATTTGTTGGCTGAATTAATTGAAGCTCGGTCATTTTACCTGAGTTTATTCTCATTTTACATTTTTTGTTTTGTTTAGCAAATGGTGATATTATTGTTACTCTGTTGCCCGTGAATACGAATTTCCCTTGGATCACACCGGCTCAATTCAGGCCTGAACTCGTCCCCGAAGAACTAATGGCTCAAGGATTGACGGTGAGTGTTACGACCTCCAATATTAAATATGAAAATTAAATATTTAGGTAATGCCTTAAAAATGTTTTATTTAATTTCATAATACATCTAAATGTGCTAGTGTTATAAATTGTGTATCATATTCCAGATATACTCTTAAATTAATTAATTGAGAAGATATAATTTCACATGGATTTCCAGTTTAGATAACTTGAGAAACAAGGAAAGTGACAAAAATGTGTTTTCTTCTTTTGAACTGTTACATAATCTTACACGGCCGTGTTTGCGTTGAGCAAACAATGTTTTGTTTATTTAATTTCAAATGTCGAAACATTTTTAATTTAAATGACCCAATTACAGCTAAAACTTTTCTGTAAACAAAAGTCTATTCTATGCTTGATATTTTAATAAAATTGTTTGTTCAATTTAATATTAATATAAGAATTTTAGTAGTACATTTCACTCTAAACTAAAAACAAAAATGGAATTTTTGAAAAAAAAAAAATTTTTAATACAATTTTAGCTGACTGTTGAGGACTACGTACAAATAATGGAGTTGTTAACAAACGACTATCGATTCACAATGTACAACATATGCTACAAGCGTGTGCTTGTAGTCTGGATATTTTCTGCTTTTGCTGTCCTTCTCGGGCTCCTGTTCTCAGGTTTGACTGGGCTTATTCTTTTTGGCCTTGGAGTACTTTGGTTAATCTTTAATGCTGCAGCAATCTTCTTTTGTATGTGGATTAAAATCAAGGTAGTTTTTATATTCAGTTTTTGTTTTCAACTTTATTTTCTAATCGTTCGTTTTTTCCTTTTTTTTTTTCTTTTAGCTGAGTCATAATCTCGAGCGTTGTATGGCAAAAGTAAACAAACATTTGATCCGTCATAAAATCATTCTTGGCCTTGATGATAGAGGCAAGATATCTTGTCATAAAGTGAATCTTTGCTTTATCTACTTCGATGTGACTGATTGTGTGGTGAGTAATTCTTGTTCAAAATACATTTCATCATCCTACTTTCGAAATTTTTAATAATAACAAAGTAGGATCTTTAATGTAATCAATATCAATAATTTGGTTGGTTTAGAATTGACTTGCTTTTATGAATATTTAAAAATAATTAAGTATTGCATAATATATTGGCCTTTTTTTTTTTTTTTTTTTTTATCTTAGGTTATTGCATAGACTTAAAAAAATGTACATTCAAAAGGCTCTCTTACTCAAATTTATTAATTTAAATTTATATCCAAAATCTTTGAACGTTTCCTCCTTAAAAGACTAATTCCCATATTCAACTCTGAAAACTTAATTCCTAGCCCCGGCTGATTTTTACTTGCTCTCTCCCTTGACAACCGCTTCGGTAGGGAATTTTTAAACTAATAAGCTCTAAAAATCAGATTTACAAATGTTTGACTTTTTTGTCTCAAAACGGAAAAGACTCATCAGTATCACGCAATACTTTGATATATGAAATTTGAAACAAATATCTTATTATAATATCTTAATTATAATACTATCTTAATTATAATATAATAGATATCTTAATATCTGAAATTTGGTTGTTAGTGATCATTTTGATCTGCCTATCCTCGCTGGATTGTCAGATGTGTTTTAGAATTTCACCATCTTCAGTGTGTCAAAACGCCAAAATTTATCTGACGGACCAATGCATTGAGGATAGGTAGGTCAAAATGATCACTAACGACCAAATTTTAGGTTCATCATCCCTAAAGACAACATGGAAAATTTCAAAATTTATCCTTGATGTGAGTTTCTCTGCTTTTCTGTTTTCGTTTGGTTTAACGATGTGGGTATTTAGAACATGTTTAGGAACTGTTATCGATTCAGGAGGCTGGGTTGTTCTTTTTATTTTCAGCTAGACCTATTTGTTTAGAAAACCACCATACTTTTGATTTACACGAGTTTATCATGAGGGATTGTTCTGCAATGAAACCATTATCTCAGATTTGATAAAATCAAAGGAATAGTTTTGGATAAAAATGGAAAGTTGACATGTTTATTGGTCATTCATGTCTCAAATTTGTCTAAAATTTGTTAAAATTTATTTGTTATTTTAAGAAGTAGGTAGGTTATAATAGAATAAAAATTTAGTAGAAAGATGTCCATGATTTTAATCAAATTGCTCTCACTAATAAATATTTAAAAGTATTTACTCTTGCAGAAAAAACTTCAAGAACTTATTGAAAAGGAAGAGGCTGCAGGAAGAGTCGTAAACAGGGAGGAAAGCCATGAAGACAAAAAGAAAAGACAACAATTCAAGAACAGGATGGACATCGAGGACAGTGATTACATCATTCAAGGATCACAGACTACACGAGTATCCAGGAAACAGGTATAAAATTTAAGATAAATTTGACTGACATTTTAAGAAAAATATAAAAAAAAATCAGGGAGAAGAGTCAGAGCGAGTTGTTTGATTAATATAATCTCAATTTTGATTGAAAAGGCTAAAGGCGAGCAATTGCTTCTGCGTTATTTGCAACGCTGGTGCAAGGACTACCTGAGGAGGAGGTTAGACTGGACGCTTGATGAGGATTTGGGGAACCCCTCCTGCCCGCTCCACCTGTCAACCGCGCTCTGTCCCTGCCAACACATATTTTTGCACCTGGCGAGCAAGCCGCCGAAAGATCCCCGTGTTTTCTGCCCTTGTTGGTCGGATTGGTTGCGAGAAAGAGGTGTCGGATAGTCTTGTTTAACGTCTCTCAATTTTAGGCAACAGATTAGTCTAAAAGTTTACCTGAAAAGTAGATTAAAAAATAGGTGAAAATGTTCTGTTTTAAATAAGGAAAAAAGAAACTGTTTTCTTCTCTTTCCGATAGATACAGTTTCTAACTAATTCACACATACCAATTCACAATTGGAAATAACATATTTATGTGTGTGGAAAATATTTTTTGTTTTTGTTTTTCCTAAGTCTTACGTTTTAAGAAAATTTTATTGTTAAATGTTTTAAAAACAAAATAGTGTAATTTTTGTGTAAAGCAAATTACCAATTAGAATTTATTTTTATTACGCATTTATGGCAAACAAAGTTGGTTTGTTTAATAATGTAGACTGAAAGTTAAATTGGAAAGTATTTTATAGATGTCGCATTTTACCCCTAGCATGAAAATCCTATTAAACAACTCTAACCCTTAATTTTTCTGGGCAAAAGATTTTATGCCATATTGGCTGAACATTTGGGCCCTATCAACTTATTTACACCCTTGAAAATAATCAAAATATTTATTCGATTTGAAATTTTTTGAAAATGATTTTCGCTTATCACTTTATTATCAAATGTAATTTCAGTCCGTATGTGCTTAGCAGTGATAATTGATTGTATTAATTATTTCAATTAATCCATCTCAACCTTAGAAAAAAAGTATAATTAATTGATCTAATTTCAATATTTATTATTGCTTGTACATTCCTTCCTTAAACTACTAACATTCCATTTACAACCTTTGCAACACGTTACTGTTTTGTGAGTGAACATTCCTTTTCAAATAAACTCGGTGTTCTAAAAGAAACACTTAAGCGATAATTATCCTGCCAATAAAGTTAGGGAAAAAACCCTGACATACATTCCCATGTTTAAAGAAAATTCCCAATTAGATTTTATTTTCATTATACATTTTATATATGTGTAGATTTATGGCAAACAGAAAGTTGGTTTGTTTAGTAATGCTAGATTGGTAGAAAAATTGGAAATTATTTTATAAACGTCGAATTTTATGTCTGGCATGAAAATCTATTAAACAACTCTAACCCTTAATTTTTCCGAGAAAAAAAAATTCGCACCGCATTTGCTGAAAGTTTGGGCCCTGTCAACTTATTTACACCCTTGAAAACAAACAAAATGTTTTCGTTTATCTCTTTATGATCAATGTTAATTTCAGTGCTTATTATTGCTGTACAATCCTTCCTTGCGCTATTATCATTCCAATGACAGCCATTGCAACACATTATTTTTTTCTGGTGAATATTCCTTCTCAAATAAACTCAGTGTTCTGATAGAAACACAGACAATTATCCTGCCAATATAGTGGGGGATAAAACATGAAAACTGATACATTCCCATGCTGTGATCAGGCTTCTATGTACTAAATTTCTTTCTATAAAGATGAGAAACTAAAATATTTTTACCTCGTGCTCATTGATTTTAAACATTTTAGAAACTTGCGACAAATGGATTTAATTGAACAATGCACCGTTTTGAAAAAGTTGTAGTTAGTGTCAATGATCATTAATTTCCGTCAAATATCTAAAATTAAGTGTATTCTCCTTACGGTTCCCTGTATTAACATTCCTTATGGAAAATGGAGCTTTTGGTTCTTTCTGTAAAAACTGTGCCTTTTTTTTTTAAATTGATTTATTTGATATTATATAAGTTTCTGTTAAAACCTCATCAAAGGTGAAGAGTGTGAATGTTGTCTATTTTTTTTTTTGTCCATTACAAAATTTGGCATTCGTGCATGCGAGGACGGTATAAAACCATGCTTGTTTGTTCTGTTGTGTTTCAATTTCCTAATGGTTCCGTTGGTGGTGTGTGTGCTAGGAAAGGGCTAATCTACTGTTGCTCCGCTACTCTTCCCGTTGGGTGAAACTGCTTGTTAAACGCAAACTTGATCTGGGCGAAGGCGCAACAGATCCAGCCCTTGGTCCTCCGAGACACTGCACCCTCTTCGCCTGCCCTTGCCAGTTCATTGAGACGCATCTCAAATACAAACCGAGAGGCAAGTTAAATATTATTAGATTCTTTACACTTCCAAACTTCCCGATGAGCTGAAACAGTATTAATAAGTGTTAAATGGGACCTTTTTTAAAATTGTCTTCCACTTTTGTAAGATAATCCCTCCAGCTTTGTACTTAATACCTTGGTTGTGGTTATGATAGAAATGGTTCGGTTTTAGTGGATTTCCTTGCATGTCCTAAACCAATGTTTTTCACTTATTATTAATAGATTTAGATTTTTACTTTAGAAACTGATGAAGTGTTTAAATTATGCTTCCATCATAAATGTGCCAATACTGTTTAAAAAGAAAAAACAAATCAATGTATCATCGTATTGAAACTATCCGTCCAAAAATTCAACTTTTTAAATGAATCTTTTAGAACTTAGTGTGTATTAGTGTTGTGTTGCCGTCCTTTTTTTTATTTTAAATAAAAAATGTAAATCATTAATCAATTAGTTGTTTTTAAAATGAAGAAGAATAAATCTATTAGCATTACAAATGTGTTTTATAAAATATAGAGAAAAAAATTAAATATTATATATACAAAAACGTACTAATGAATTATGAAGTTATAAAAGTGTTGTTTTAAAGTAATGTTAACAATCAAAGTACTTATTATATTGTTGGATTATATTTGTGCAATAAAATATAATGGATATTATGTATTGTTTATTTGTTTAGCCCTAAAAGAACAATCCTTTGTTTACTAACCAAATTATTTCTTTGTGCATGCAGCTAAGGTGCAGAGAAAGCCTGCAATATCGTATATTGATGCTTGAAATCAAGTAAGCCCTGTTTCTATTTTCTGATGCTTTACCTACTAATTAAATTATGTTTTTTTTGTTTTATGCACATACTTTAGCCGAGTGCACAACTGCTTAGCACTTCACTTATAAAGTAACTGTCGCACTCATTTTTGATTTAGGATACACAAAAGCCTCACTTAGCATATTTAAGTGTTAGTTTTATCTTTAAAATGATGTAAAATTGCCAAATATTATTAGGGATATATCGTATAACAATCTCAAATTTTTCTCTTCTTTATACATGTAAGAGCAGTTCTTATTCTTGTAGACGGAATCAATAAGATCCAGAAAAGCTTTCGAGAGGAAATAATTATTATAAAGGATTTTCAATAACACAAGGCAAACACTAAAATATAACTAAATAACCAAAACTTTTCTTATCAAATGTCATTCTGTCACTGTGCTAAAAGAGCTTAATTGAGAAATCAGTTTCATTTAATTGAGATTCCTTAAAGAAATATAATCGATAGTGATATTGACATATTTTTTCACTGATTAAGTGGTGATACATCCCTACGTAAACTTTTTTAAATTCTCTTATGGCATTAGTAGCAACTTTGCAAACAGGACTTCTAAGTAAGCCTACTTCTTCACTTTTTATCGACTAACAATTGATACTGAACCATATCAGCCCCGTACTCGAATTTCCATTAGCCCTCTCACTTCCTCATTATGTATGATGTACGAGTATCAGGGAGGATGCAATCAAAGAAAATACAAAAGATTGTCGTCAAGCTTTCAGCCTATTTAATGCTTTAATCAGGACTACAAACTATAACTTAAACGAAAACAAATAGCATCAAAAGAATTTGAGATGCCAACCGTAGAGTTGTTTCCTCTCTGAGGGCCACTGGACGATAAAAAAATCTTTTAATGCCAATTGTTTATATTTTATAGATGTGATGAAGGATTAAATAGGCTGAAAGCTTGATGACAATCTTTTGTATTTTCTTTGATTGCATCCTCCCTGATACTCGTACATCATACATAATGAGGAAGTGAGAGGGCTAATGGAAATTCGAGTACGGGGCTGATATGGTTCAGTATCAGTTACTAGTCGATAAAAAGAGAAGTAGTAGGCTGACTAAGAAGTCCTGTTTGTGACAACAGAAGTCCAGGGAAAAAATAATCATGCATTTTATACAATGTATGTAATACCCCGTTTGCCTAAAAATCGGAACGGAGGCCCCAACAACCCACTCTTGCCCAAGAACTTTATGCCGGGTGCCATTTATTGGTATTCAGGGATGTCTAATTGATGTATTTTTAATTATTTATTTGTTTTTATCTATTTTAGTATTTAAATTATATTGCAGAGTATATTAATTTTTTTTTAGAGTTTCTTTTACACACGGTGTCTGTTGTGAATGTTCATGGGAGCAACTTTTTGAACTGCCATTCATACATGTGAGACAACTTCCTTTGAAATTCAAAGACTTCCCCCTAAATTCAACCTCAAGAACACATATTTTCTTTGGTGATTTATCAGCCTTCTCAGTTTAAATATATTTTTTTCTTTCCAAAAGGTAGATTGGCCTCATCCCCAATCTACCTTTTGGAAAGAAAGAAATATCTCAAGAACGTTGCTCTGCAGTCAATATATTTAAAGCACTCATTTAAAAATAAATTATTTAAAAATTTTTTAAATTTAGTACACATATTAAAACTATTATAATATAATATTCTTTAGTTTTACAAATATAGATAGAAAAAACTGATGTAACAATTTAACACAAGTATATAATTACATAAATGAGATTCAATTTGTGTAAAAATCTTCAATCAGCTTAAAATAATGAATAAGCTTCTATAAACAGTAATTTTTTTTGTTAATATCAATGATAATGTTTTATTTAACTGTGAAATACAATAGAAAAGATAAACATTAATGATAAATTTTTCATTAATTACATTTTTATCTAAGGTCTTGGGTGATATGAAAAAGCTGGTTTCACGAGCGAGATTCGAACTCATGACCTTTGGCTTTTTTTGGCCGGGAAATTGGAAATTGGCAAAGGCGGGTTTAAATCCCACTCGTGGCACTAACTGTTTCATCTCAACTAAGACCTTAAATTAAAAGTATAATTAATTAAATTTTAAAACAGTCAATTATGCTTACTAAATACACATTAATAATAATATGGAATAGAGTATGTCTGTCGAAGTTGTACAATGAAACTGAAAAGTTGTCATAAAAACAAAAAATTATTACACAATAACATTCAGGACAATTAAGATATATTTTTCTAAATAAAGGGTGTTGGTCTTAACTCTGTTCCTTGTGCTAGCTACAACCATTCTTTTGTGATAAATAGAAAAGTAACAATTGGAAGAATTGCTTGGAAAAATTCTGAATTCGCTCTTCTTGGAATGTTAGGCTTGCACTTTTTTTCCCCCTGCGAGAGAGAGAGCTTAAGCTTTGCTCTGCATTGAAGAATCATTCTTCAAGAATGTTATTGCCTGTGCATCTTACATCTCTAACTAATCTCTTCTCTTTAAACATAACAAATTTATTTTATAAGCCGTCTTAACTTGTAGTTTTTAATTTAGAGTTAATGGCTGCTGATGCTTTGGCCATAAGGCCCATGGATCCCCTGTTTGTTTGATAATACTAAAGGGAAGAAACGTTTGAGTGCAATGAGGTCAGTTAAAACTTTCACAGTAATGTATAATCTTATTTCTGTAAAAAGAATATTTGTCGATGTGTATTGTGAAAAGTGTCGAAAATTTCAGGAAGTGTTTCTACTCACTATTTCCAACAAAAAACTATATATTGTTTTTTTTCTTTTATTTTACATTTTTATGCAGACGGTTGAGAAGAAAAATTAACGTGTTTGCATAAAAATGGGAAATAATACACAGATAACTAACTAAATAATTTCATAACTTTTACTATATTTTTCTTGCAATCTAAATAAAAAATGCTGTAAATGATAATGATTCACATAGTTGATTTCAACTAGGAGACTGGTAAAAAAAAACAGAAATTTTCAATTTTTTTGGTGAAACCAGAGCCTATTAACAAGAAGTGATGGATACGTGTCCGATATTTTGCAGTGTAAATCCATCAAAAAAAGTTTGGTCCAAATCTGTGACCCACCTACCTGGTCGACCCCTTGTAAGATAATTATTTTGTGACGTATCCTTGTTTTGAATTTTGATACATTTTACTGAAGTCTGTGGTAGGTGGTAGAACATGTAGATTGATCACCTTGGTTTTCTATGTCAAATTTATTTCACCAACACCAAACTTGCACTGAAAATGTGCCTGACTAAACTTGTCATATATGTTAAGAAAGAAAGTGGTCATTTGATAAATGATCATCCTTGTTTTAAAGTGTCAGATTCACAAATGTAAATCATGGATTAATTTTAGCCAAATTATTAAAAATTAGTACTTTTCACATTGGTCATTCTGTAAATATGTTATATATGCATTATATGAATTATGTATCACATAAAATTGATTTAATGGAAAATTATTTGCATTTGCAAATGTCACACACTGTTTAGTTGCATTCGTAACCACGTTGGATGGCTCACGCTTAACTATCATTAATTTGCACAGTCCTTAAATTTTTCATTTAACCGACTTCACTGGTGAAGGTGGTAAAATGACCAAAATAGGTTCATCAGAGGTAATCTGACAATGGAATAATTCTGTTTATGTACATAGTTGTCACATTTTGCCAGTTCATATCAGAGATTATAAACCATAAATAAGTCTGATTTAGCAGTCGTGCTAAATTATATATATTTTTATTTACAGAGTGGTGCGGTGGAGCATTTTCTAGTGACCTGACACAGGTGTTGTACATGTATTGAAAAACTCAACAATCAAATGGAAAACCGATTCCGTCCAAAATAGTGATTATAAAATAATATGTATGGATAATCAAAAATATATAGAAATTAGTTGAAAGTTTATATATTTATATTAAAAAAAAGTATTGTTACAACTTAATGTCAAATTCAAAGTGCCTTTATACATGTAATGTACAATTAATTTATAAATAAACAAGAGTTTTTAATAGAAGTTTTATTTTAATGTAACCGCCTCCTGTAGAATGGTCCCCACCATTTCGAGAAGTTCTCTGTGGTTTTCCTTCAGTTCATTCTGATGTTTAACCAAGAGCATTTCAAGTTCTTTGAGCCGTTGTGTTGTAGCCATAAATTCTTGGGCGATGGAGAAACTGTCTCCACTGTTTTCATCCGTCGGTGAGATGCCAGCTGGAAATAATAAAACACGGAACAAATTGAAACAAACAGTCCAAATATTTATTACCGACCCAGAATTATTTTTTAAAAATTAAGTAATAGCTTTTTAACACCCATCTATTTTACAAGAAAAAAATGTTATCACTTTGATCTACAAAATGGAGTTGTAGGGGCATTGGTTGCGACAATGGTTTAGGTGTTGACATGGAGCTTATAACTGCAGGGTTAAACACCCTGGATTCGAATCCAGTGGCCTTGCTTCGAACCCGATATACTTACAAATGAGCTTCTTTTTTTTTTTTTTTTAATATATTTTAAACACTGACATACTGAGGGTGACTCTGCTGTTATGAACCCTTGTAAAAACAGGTCATAACTCATAACAGTCTAATCTCTTAAATTCAATGACGCAACTTGGAATACACACACACACGTAGTGTATGTGATTACTGGCCATTGTAAAATCGTTAGGTTTTGGTCTCATAAAAAAAATAAAATCATCTGGAAATGCCGGCCACAGGTTTGGACATTTGTCCCACCCCACCAACAAAGGTGAGAGATTCTTCCTAATGCAGGATAATACCAGGCCCCATGGAGCACGTATTATGGATGACTAGCTGAATAAGGTTGGAATAGAGCGTTTTGGGTGGTCAGCATATTGCATAATGCCCTTCCCTGCAGCTACGCCTAAAGATCGCATTCAGTTAATCTTTTTCCTTTGTTGATTTCATTTGATATTTATTCTTATTCTTAAAACTTTTTCAATGGCTCCAGGCATTTAAGTGAGTATGACTGGGTCGGGTCATAGCAATATTAGAGGAGGATATAGCCAATGCGAAGAAACCAGGAGAGGTAAATCACTCTACTATAAGAGGAAGGTTCTCTGGCGCTAGAAGGCCAGTATAAGGTTGACCAAGGTCTACAGATGAGAGAGGCGATAGATTCATCCGTCATCAGGCTCTATGAAACCGCAGCATTACGTGATATGAGATAAGAAATCAGATAAGACAAATCCGAATCGTTTCATTTCCTCCTGAACTGTGAATAAGGCTCAGTGAAAATAACCACAGGCCTGGCACCCGGCTTGTGGATCTCTTCTTACCACACTCAGAAAATTTCCAGGCTCGATTATCATGGAAACAAGTGAATTGGACAATGGAAAAGAGTACTCTTTACATATAAGGTGAGACGGCCTCAAATCTTCAAATGGGCATAATTTCATATGGAGATACTCAGGACAAAGATACGTCCCATGCTATATGGTTCCTCAGGTGGCATTCCATGATGATTCATTGATGTCATGGGGTGGCATTTCCTTGGATGCCCGCACTGAATTGGTTGTTTTGTGAGGAAGATAGCTAACTTCACAAGGGTACTTACAATTGAAGAACATGTAGTTCTGATGTTGTAGGCTGTTCTTGATGAATGGGAAAGAATTCCTCGGGATTTTATCAGCAATCTTTTACAAGGACCTAGGTCTACACATAGAGATGATAGATTCATCCTTCATCAGGCTCTACGAAACCGCAGCATTACGTCATATGAGATAAGAAATTGGACATTGGAAAATTGGGGAGTTCTCTTTACAGATGAGGTGAGACGGCCTCAAATCTTCAGATAGGCGTAATTTCATATGGAGATGCTCAGGAAAAAGATACGTCCCAGGCTGTATGATCCTCAAGTGGCATCCATGGTGGGTCAGTGATGTTCTGAGGTGGCATTTCCAGCCCGCACCGTCTTGGCCTTCTTGTATACTGTTCCTAAGCCGTTGCCGGCTCTTTACAGTTTTTAAGTGCTTTGTCTAGCTTTTTTATTATAGACGGAAGCGGCTGAACTTGGGGGTCAGAATGAACGAGCAGATGGGAAGAAAAAAAATAATAACAAGGATGATAATAATAATAAAGAAAGAAAGAAAATTACCCCCTCGCCACGGGTCCCCCAGGACACCATTCCTTAAGCCTTTTCGGCTCCCTACAGCGCCCGGGTGGTCGCCACAAATGGGCAATGGAGGAAACAAGAAGAAGAAGGAAAAGAAAAAATAAATAAAATAATAATAATGATGATAAAATTTCAAGGATAGTAATAATAATAAATAAAGAAAGAAATTACCCCATCGCCACCGCCACGGGTCCCCCGGGACACTGTTCTTTAAGCCTTTTCCAGCCCGCACCGAATTGGTTGTTTTGCGAGAAAGACCTCTAACTTCATAGGGGTACTTACAAGAAATAATCGAAGAACATGTAGTGCCATTTGCCCCCAAGCAGTAAGAGTCTTGCTAATGCAGGATAATGCCAGGCCCCACAGAGCACGTGATATCGGAATGATGTTGGAATTGAGTGCATGTTGTGGCCAGCTCGAAGTCCAGATTCAGACCCAATCGAACACCTTTGGGGCCAACTTAATACGAGTACGCCGGCGAAATTTAAGTCCTAACACCCTAGACGAGTTGGAAAAAGCTGCTCTTGATGAGTGGGAAAGAATTCCTCGGGATTTTATCAGCTATCTTTTTCAAGGAATGCAAAGGCGTTTACCGGACGTGATTCGTGCCAGAAGAGGAAATATTCATTATTAAAGGGACAAAAAAGTTTCTTTTTATATTTTTATTAATTAATTTTTTTACTAGGCTAGGTAATAAACTTTAGTTTTTTCAATGCCTTCTTTTTACAACCAAACCTATTTGTGGTATGCAAAATATGAATAAACCTAAGTACATCAAAATTTAAGGGTGGTTTATCAATTTTGTTCATCAGTGTATGTAATATTTGGCTTTTGTTTTACACCTTTTACTGATATATTTGTCATTTTTATGTTACATCTTTTTCCCTTTTTCCCAGGAATAAAAATAGGCTTAACACCTATTCTCACGGTTTAACACTTTTAAAGCAGTGTTTTGTTTTTTCTCCAGAAATACAATTTGAACTGTTTTAAACGTTAACCCCAGCAGTGAAAAACTAACTCGACAAGTTTTTAAATAAATTATACGTCGTATTTGTAAATTACCTGAGGCGAAGACGGGGTCGTCTGGTGGGGCGTTCTCGACGTCCTGGACAACTTGGTTTATCTGAGGCATTTTCGGTCTGACAGGCAATTCAGTCTTCTTTTTAAACATAACATTGACGATCACAAAAGATCACAGCAAAGAATCGCGCTATTTCAGTTGAGACTCTCTGCTGACCGAGGTAGGTAAAACTCTTACTCCCTCTCTCTCTGACAGCTGTCACGCACGGCCTAGGCCTACGAAGTTGCGACGCATTACGACTCACGATTTGGCGGGAGCCACCTTTGATATTTTGCCGACCTGTTACCGAATTTACTGCCATTTTTACGTCTTTGCAAAACATTTTTTCGAGTTGTAAACTGTTATTTTGCTATTAATCCTATTTGGAACCAAATATTTAAATATCAAAACAATAACTCAACCCAAATGCCTTGATCTTTCTTTACATATTTTAAAGGTACAAACAGAGCTTTATGTACTTATATTAGAAATAAATTAGTTTTATAAACATAATAAAATAATATTAACAGCAATAATAATATATTTGGTAGGATCGGGGATGTGGTTCAATTAATGATCTTAGTTTATTATTAGGAAATCGTGAGATGCGGTGTAGTGTGATGCAGGTTTCAGAAAAACATTTTCCTTATCGTGCCAACGTTTCGATCTTTATTGAGATAATCTTCAGGGCTCAAAATGTTTGTTTTCAGCGTAATTGTGCATTTCTTGCGTGTCGTGTGGAGAGTGTGTTTGGCACTCTCAACACCACACGCAAGAATGGCACAATTATGTTGAAAACAAACAGTTTGAGCCCTGAAGCTGATCTCAATAAAGGTCGAAACGTTGGCAAGATAAAGAAAATGTTTTTCTGAAACCTACATCACATCAGGCCGCATCTCACGATTTCCGAATAATCATCGACTAACGGTCACTAATCACCACACAAATGATCTTAATGTACGCCAAACTTTCGGTGTTTTATTTCACCTTCATCAGAGCTCTACAACGGGTACATATACGTATAACATTTTATAATTGCTCATCTGAGAAAATGAAATACAAAAATTAACTTGTTTTTACAACTTACATTTCTTTATTTACTAAAAAACAATATATTTAGTATAAGAAATGACAAAAAGAGAGAAAAAATATTTATACATGTTGATAAGAGAAAACAATTTTAAATACTGACAGAGATTCTGTAAGTTGTAAAAACAAGTTGTCACTTACACAGATGAGCAATTATAAAATATTATATGTATATGTATCCGTTGTAGAGCCCTGAGGAAAGTGAAATAAAACACTGAAAGTTTGGCGTAGTTTCAACACCAGAACATTCATTGTACCACATCCCTGACCCAACAAAATATATTTTGAATAACAGCTGGTCGATCGCCTTTACAGCAATAATGAATATGGTAAAAAAGGATACTAGGAAGCGGGGTTTGCACTCCCCAGGCACTGCACCCGTCTGGTTTATTGTACCTTCCTAGTTCTTTAGTTCAGTGCAATAGACTGAATCCTTCTCCTTAGAAGTATCAGGTCATTGAGTGTCGCTGCTGCAATTTGATTCCCTAATTTTTTTCCGTACATTAGGTTAAATCTCCATTGAGCTGTTGCTTTGCATTCGAAGATGATATGAGTGGCAGTTTCTTCCTCCTCATTACATAATCTGCAAATGGGATCATCGTTGTATATGCCCATATTGTGCAGATGTTTTCTCAGATGCCAGTGACCTACCACACCTCTGAGTTTGGCCCTCTCCAATAGCGGCAATGCTTTTGCCAGTCTTGGTGAGGGTTGTTTCACCATAAGTTTACTACTTTTCCTTTTGTTTTGTTTGGATCCATTCTGCGATGCAATAATAATAATAAAACATATAATAAAATATACAAAACAATAATGACAATAATATATTTTTAAAATATTAATTACTTATAATGGAATGATGAAACCACATTCTGAAAGAAAAGGAGAAAGAGAAAAAAAGGAAACGGGCAAAAGAAAAGGAAGGGGGAAGAAAAGGAGATGATTTAACACTAGAGAATGAATAATGAAGTTTATTTACATATTTTCAGTACAGTACATGTAACAAGAGTGTAGGGAAAGTGACATAGCACTACAACTTCCTATTTCAATACGATTTATATATATATACAGAAAAGTTATTTAGCATACAAAATTGTAACATGGAAAAAAATGTTTACAAAAAACCACAACCTTATGTTGATTGTACGGAACTCTTAATCAATGATTTAAGGAAAAGAAATATGTGCCAGGTGCACAGGTCCAAGTGGAATCTTCTACTGAAACTCTTCCTTTGTAAGTCACCCCAAGTGCCTTCAATTTTCCCAGCATCCCCTGATGAGTTGAATGCTCGTTTTGTTCAGTCTAGCCATTCCAGTGGCCTTCTCAACTGTCCCCCATCTTCACCGGTTTTATTTTACTTACATCTTGCCCAACACAATTAATAAACACCATGAGTATTAGACAAAACTGGATTCAGACAGGATACCAGTAAAATTTATCAAGGCCTGTCTTCCAATCATCCCGTACTCCTTTATATTTATAAATTTTCCTTGAAGTAATATTTGGTCAAACCGCTAAATAAAGTCTCTCAACCCTCCTGTCCCAAAGATTTCCGTTCTAATCATGCTTCAATCTGACTTTTGACCTGGTTTCTCTATGAGTTTGGCTATTTTAAAAATATTTTCTTAAGTTCAGATGTATATTCTTGTTCTTGATTTTCCCAAAAGCTTTGACACCATAAACCATTCTCTTCTCTCTAAACTTGTCTTTCCTTCTCCTACAATACTCTTCGATGGTTTCATTCCCTCCTCTCAGCCCGTTCACAAATAGGAATAGGTCCTCATCCCAGGAGGATAGGACATTACTGGTGTTCCTCAAGGCTCCAGTTTATGTCTCCTTCTTTTGTTATTATATTAATGATCTTAATATTCTTAAATATTGCACCTATCACCTCTGTGCAGTTGACTTCCAAATCTACCTCTCCTTTTTACCTCATAACCTGCAATTCTCAATTACATGTATCCAAAAGAATCTAAATGCCTGGGCTGTTGAAAATGGCCATTGGCCTCTCTCTTTCTCTCAGTAACAATGACAGAATGTAATATGATATTGATGGCATACAGCAGTTCTTAAAAGGTGTATAATACACACTCCAACTAATATATCTACATCTACCTATTTATACATTAGGTTATATCCTTCTGTTTTTATTTTATGTAGTTTTTTTATGTTTGAACTAATGAAATTTGTTTGTCATCAAAAATGTCATTTATATCCATTTTTTAAAGTTACCAAGGCGTATGAAAACAAGATTCGGACGGAACAATCTGCTCGATACAGTATGAAGTGAGTGAATGACACCATTCCACGCAATGTCCCAGCAGTCACCTTCATACAGGAAAATTATTAAGCGACTAAAAGTCACTATTTCATACCGGCCGCCTGCCAGTCTCCCCATTTGAATGACAGTATTTGTCCCTATAAATTCTCCTTGATACCAATATCTCATACCAATCACATGTGTGTGAACTGAGTCTAACTGTGGCACCTTTTGCCAACTTGGCATTTTAATTTCCTACAATGTTACATGTCTAGGTATCCACATAAGCACTAGGGATATAGTTAGCCCTTGGTCTTAGGGCCAGTCTGTTTAATGTGGCAAGAACCACGTCTTTAATTGAATTCATTGGAAAAAACATTATTTTTGTAATGTTACCTTTTTTAGTTTGTTTTATGGAAGGTGAATAAATTTAAATCTACTTGTTTATTTGTTGAATTATATAGAACATAAAATTTATTATTGTAATAACATTGTACACTATTTAAAATTCTCTATAAGTGCTAAGAAAACAAAACTGATTACATATTTTTTACATAATAAAACTGAGTTTTGGGTATGAGAGAAAAAACTCACAATTCGTCGAAAGGTAATATTTTGGGTTGAATTGGAGTGTTGTAAGCGCCACTGAGGGGAACAACAAGTTTTCGAAAGTTGAAGGGCATGTAATTTATCACGAACAAAAAGAAGTCGAGTTGAGTGCGGCAGAGGCCAAGTTCCTTTAGTTTTGCTTTCAAGTTTGAAAGCGACGGCTCAGTGTGACCATGAATGACAAGTGTGTATGTATGGTAAAGAGTGATTACAAATTCTTCTGATACTTTCCGAGCCTCTAATTTATACTTATCAGACAAAGACTTTTCTAAAAACTGATATAAACGCTTGTTGACCCATTTTGCAGGCTTATACAATTTCGGCAATGTGAAAGTATTTGCCATTTTTCTCTTCTTTGATGTTATCTCTTTAGAGTCAAACACACTATCCTGTTTTCTTTTGTTCTTGTTTAATGCAGTTTTTATTTTCAGCATGTGTTTTTCAATTGGGTCCAGGTGAGGTGGTTGGCTTATTATCGATTTACTGTTTAAATTAAGAGAATTATTACTGTCTATGCTTGTTGCATCAAAGTCACCTTGACTGTTGCTTACAGTAAAACTGTCTTTAGTTTCCAACAGTGAATTTTTTTGCTGAGAACTTCTTGACTTTGACCTAGTAGATGATGTACAAAACTGTTCATTAACAGATGATTTGTCATGATTGTAAATCGATTCGATGCAATTATTCTGATCAACAGATATATTTCTTCTTGTGCTTCTACGGCTGTTGCTCTGCCCAACCCCATTATCTACATTATCCGCTTGATATATTGCTTTCCGATAGGACTGTTTGATCGGGACTTTGTGGAAAGGTGTACTATGATATATGAGAACTTTTTTATGAGGGAATGATTGGTTAATAGAACTGACATCAAGTGAGCTGTCGTATGACAGATTGCTTATTGTCTTGTCACTCGTCTTGGATTTTCTAGTGGAACTACGATTCCTTTTTGTTGGAGTTTTGGTTTCTTTAACTGCCACATTTGTCGTATTTGCCTTAGACTTCCGTGAAGACACTCGTTTTGAAGGCAAACTGGGTATTGCAAAATTGATAGAGTCATCTTTGCCAGGGTGATTATTTTCAACAACAGTTCTTACATGGCCATTTTCTTCGTCCGCTGACATCCTAGAACGTTTAACACGCTTGAATTGGGATTTTGATTGTGTACTATTTCCTGAATGGGAATTAACATCTGACTCTGATTCTGTAATATGCTGTTCACCTTCTTTAGCAGGTTGAGGAATATCTTTCTGTGCTAATTTATCATTCACGTTTATTGACTTGTCACTCATCTTGGACTTTCTAGTGGAACTACGAGTCCTTTTTGCAGGAGTGGTTTCATTAACTGCCTCATTGGTCGTATTTATCTTCGATTTTTGTGAAGACACTTGTTTTGAAGGCTCACTGGCTATTGTGAAATTAATACTGTTATCTTTGCCAGGAAGATTATTTTCAACGAGAGTTGTAACATGGCCATTTTCATCATTTGCTGACACCATTGAACATTTAGCAAGCATAAATTGGGATTCCAATTGTTTACTGTTTCCTGAATGGGAATTGGCATCTGACTCAGATTCAGTTATGAGTCGTTCACCTTCTTTAGCTTGTTGAGGAATATCTTTCTGGGCTAATTTATCATTCACGTTTATTGTTATGTCACTCATCTTGGACTTTCTAGTGGAACTACGAGTCCTTTTTGCAGGAGTGGTTTCATTAACTGCCTCATTTGTCGTGTTTGTCTTCGATTTGTGTGAAGACACTTGTTTTGAAGGCTCACTGGCTATGGTGAAATTGAAACTGTTATCTTTGCCAGGAAGATTATTTTCAATGAGAGTTGTCACATGGTCATTTTCATCGTCCGCTGACATCCTTTTATCTTCGACAAGCTTAAATTGAGAATTTGATTGTTTACTTTTGCCTGAATGGGAATTAACATCTGACTCTGATTCAGTTATATGTTGTTCACCTTTTTCAGCATTTTGTGGGATATCTCTCTGGACTAATTTTTCATTTATTACTTCAGGTATTGATTCAACTACAGCAATTTGCGATGTACCATTTGAATGTTGTAGATCATCTTCCAATAAATCGGCAGTGGCAAACTCCTGGCTCATCTTTTGTGTTTTTTGCTGCTCTTCCATGCCCACCCTACAATCATTTTCCTTGTTTTTAGTTTGACTATTTTCAAAATTTGTATTGTTCGTTTGTTCAAAAGTCGTTTGTTTTGAAGAAGACGGAGTTTTAACTTTATTAGAACCATCATTTACTTCTTTATTATTGTCATCAAATTTTGGTATGCTAATTACATCTACTTGACTTTCAGTTTGCAAACATACTTCATTATTATTTTCTAGTGATAGTGTTTTAACTCCACTGGAACAGTCATTTGCGTGTTCGTCATTGTCATCAATTGTACATTTACTTGGTATACTAATAACATTTTCTCTTTCATTTTCATCTTGCAATTCCTTATTGTTTTCTAGCGACGATCTAATTAAATTTAACTCTTGTTGGTTTTCCACTACCAAATTGCTCTCTGTACTTGTAGAATCCAATTCATCGATGATTGTTTTGGACAAATAGGGGATTTCCACTTGGGAAGAGTTATCCACTTCGTTTATATTTGGAAAAAAGGGGTTAGAACAATTTTCCACTAGTCTAAAGCTATCATTTTTCTCCACCAATTTAGGCCTTTCCATTGGACAATCATCCAAATCAAAACTATCACTTTGGACATAATCCATTACGTGAGTTTCTACATACTCCATTGAATCTTTCTTTAAAATACATTTGACTTCTTGGTCTAAAGTGTTTAAAATTTTAGATCGAGATTTGTACATGGGAGAGCTATGATATGCCAAGCATTCTTTTTGTGTGTATGATTCCTGTGCATCTAAACTTACGTCAAGAGACTCGTAAGATGAAACATTCAATGTAATATCAGTTATCTGTGACATTTGTGTTGTTTCCAAAGAACTGTCGGTTTTTCTTGATGAAATATCTTCTGTTACAACCTTTGCAGATTTTTTTTTCTTATTTTTAGGCAGATTTTTTTTGACAGGGACACTGGATACATCTTTGTGAGCCAAGTCATCTGGACGAGCAGTGACAATATCATTTTTGCCTTCTTCTAATTGCTTCAAAATATTTTCCTTGATGTTATCGTTAGGTGCTTTTATGTTTTTTCCTTGTAGATTAACTGTATAGTTGTGGTCTGATGTCAGTTCTCCTACATTTGAGTTGTGTTTCACATCCAAACCAGATTGTTCAACTTCTATTGCTGAATGTTCCTTACTTTTACCTTTAGGATCCAATGGAACTTTCAATGTTACATTCAGACTGTCTACATTTGTGGATATTTCAACATTTGACGTATCCAAACAATTTTGGAATGGCTTTTCAACAGGATTTTGTAATAAGTTATCTGATAAAGACCTTTCATGAGTCACTATCTGGTCGCACTCTACCACACACCGTTCAGTTTGTGACTCATTGTTGATACCTACATGATCTGCAGAGTTAGTATTAATTTGAAGGGATTTTTTTTTAGAAGACTTACTTTTGTTAAGCTTGGTCTCTTCTGCCTTATGATCTACACTTTTTTCTTTTTCAAGTTCAGTTTTATTTATTCGTGGAGATGGTTCAACGCATTCAATTGTGGACGTAGGAACATTCTCTGTATTCATTGTTGTTTGACTTTCATCTTTTGTACTATTAACAATTGAAGCGTTGATTTTATGATCATCAGTGGCAGATCCGATTTGATTACTATTTTTCCCTTTGGGCTTCCGCGACGATGAACGGACTTTGCCATTTCTTCTACTGTCGCATGGTGGAGTTTCAATTTGGAAGCTTTGATTTTCTTTGTCTTTTGTTGTATCATCATGACGGGTCTCTTTTAAATCAATTATTTTTTTATTAGTAATGAGATCAAACTGTTCATCTTCATTTTTCAAGTTGGAAAAGTTATTGGTGTGAACTGTTTTATTTTTTGAAGAATCACAGCTTGAATCGAGATCAAATTTGACAGAATATTTTTTACTTCTTCTTCCATTTGAAGCTAAGATTGGATGCCTTACTTCCTCCTCAATCTCGCTGTTTTCTGTTAGTGATAGGTCGATGACAGGTGAATATTTAATATTGTTTAATGTCTTAAATACATTTTCACTGGGTTTCTCTGACAACAAAGAGTTTTCAGCACTTGAAATGGTGCCCAAAACATCAGAGGAAAGCTGTGTCGTCTCATTGAGGTTGAGGTTCACTGAATATTTCTTACAATTTGCAAGTTTCACGAAAGGATTTGTTTTGCTACCACTTTCAGACAAAGATATTTCTTTATCCGTATCATTGAGGTTGAGGTTCACTGAATATTTCTTACAGTTTGCAAGTTTCACGAAAGGATTTGTTTTGCTACTACTTTCAGACAAAGATATTTCTTTATCTGTATCATTAAAAGTGAGATTGACAGTGAGATCCATTTTATGCTTGTTCTCCAATTTCCTCCTCATTGCATTCTTAGGGCTAGTTTTAAGTGTTTCGTTCATGCTATTGTTTCCTGTTTTAGATAAATTAAGTGAATCTTTTAAACTTTTAGCCCATAATCTATTATCTAAAATAATAAAAATGTTAATAAAACGTAAATGTTTCTCATGTCAAGAAAAAGCTGTGGACTTACCTTGGCATCCACGTGGAAAGATGCTTTCTAAACTTGTATTGTTGAGGAAACTATGACTCTCGATCGATTTAATAATTGAAGGTTCGGGAGAGTATTTTACCAACATAGACTCATTCTCAACATCACTACCACTCTTTCGCATTAAATCCACTGGCAGAGAGAAAAAATATATAAATAAACATGTATGATTGTTTTAAATAACATGGACTTACATGCAAGTAAGTTGTTCTGCAGATTAGGCAGCACACCGTTATCCTGGATGGACTTATTTAAAAGCAAGGTTTCATCCATTTTGACAATCGGTTTCTGAGAAAATATAACGCATTAACATGGCATGGTGTTTTTCTAAATGAAGACGTTATTAGGAAGTCTAATCACACCTATTTTTTGACACTGCATTAACTGAGAATTAACAATAGATTTTCTCCTTCAATTGTTAAATTAACATCACACTGAGTCTTTTTCTTCAGTATATGTGCACAATTAACTTCTGAAAATATAATTTTAACATAAATTACAGTAAAATCAGAACAGTTATTATTAACACATGTTTGAAAGTTCTTTTCTGACGTAGACTGAAATGCCAGTTGGCAAATTAATGATTATTGGTGTACACTGTTTCACATCACTATTTTCTTTTTTATGGCTTTAAAGCGCTTAATTTGTGCATGCTTACAGTATGAATTTTACCTACATACTAGCGCTGAGTCAGCTAGAAAAATTTCCATGCTTTCGGTGATGAAACAATAAATATGTACACTGGTGAAAAGTTGTTCAAAAAGTTTGCTTCTGGGAATGAGGGAATTGAAGATGAACCATGGTCTGGTAGACCTTCTGTCTTGAATGACAATGATTTGAGGGGAGCTATGAAACTCAAGTAAGCAATGAAACCGTTTGGTCAAGCTTTCATCGACGACAGGATATAGAAACTGAGCAAATGGTAACAAGCTGCAGCGTCTGGTAGACTTTCTTTCTTGAATGACAACAAATTGACGGAAGCTAACGAATTTAAGTAAGCGATGAAACCATTTGCTCAAGCTTAGATTGACTTGAAAGGATGTGTAAGCTGAGCAAATTGGTTCCTCATAAATTGACCCATGATGATAGTAAGTTGTAGCGTTTAAATATTTGCCTTTCATTGCTTTCACACACAAAGCATAGATGTTTTTGATCAGATTGTCATATAAAAAAAAAAAAAAAAAATGTTCCTGTAACACCAGGAAGGGTGGACTCCAGTAGCTAAGCGGTTAAGGCACTTCTGGATTTTTTCTGACCATTTTCTTAAAATTGAAATGGCACTCATCAATGTAAGGTCTGGGACAGGGTCAGATTTCACTGACCCAGAATTTGTTCCCCCCCCCTGGAAAATGATTTTCTTTGATGAAGAACACCGCCACACCATGGGCTCAATTCACAAACATGTTGTGGGTTCACAAAAATGGAGCCTGAAAGGAGTACACATAAGATGTATAGACCTGCAGTGCTCAGGGAAACGTGTCCATTTCCTGGTTAAGCCACAATAAAAATAATTAAATAAAAAAATAAAATCTTGGGTCGAGGTGCAGGCCTTATGGCCACCTCTTTTTATCCCTATTTTTGTAATGTCCTAAATCTGTAGCAATATTAAAGGCTGTTAATGCTGAATATTTAAGGCAGCTCCAGACATGCGGTATTCGCTGAATTCCGATTACTGCCGCATATTTGCCAAGTTTCAAGATGCTCATCTTGGCATTCGGCAAATAGTGCCTACATTATACACAAATGAGTTTGTACAACCACCTAGTTTGTGCGTATACAGCGAATATTCGCCAAGTGCGAGTCCTCAACTTACTACTAATGGTGAAGGACAACAGTGAAGCTGAGGCTACTGTTTTATGTAGTGCAAACTCAAGTCACAGAGTACTGTTGTCCCATCTTACTTTTGGTCCGTTTCCAAGCATCAGCTTGATCGAGGAACTCCAAGACTGCTATGTTGGGCCAATCCATTCTTAACCAACAGAAACAATGGTAGGTTGTTCTTTCATTAATACATCTAGTAGTTTTGAATCGTTTATTATTAAAAAATAAATAGATGTAAGTAACTGTTGATGGATGACTATTAGTTGGTTTATGTAAAGTACAGTTGATTCCCAAATGTGTGGATGCTTTGAGTTGAGCTACACGAATATTCGTGCACAATGAAGCGGACTAGAAAACCAAGCAAGGTGAGCACCGAATTTTGTGGCTCGGCGAATTCAGCATGTCTGAAGCCCGTTTATATTTACAAATTATGTTGTGGTTTGGTGACCGTAATGGTGACTGATTTGTTGTATAACTAGTGGCTCAGGTTTTGAATTCCAGCTTTGCGCTAGGAATTTCTGACACTTTTGTAACTGACTGATATGGAAAACGAGGGAATTAGTTTTAAAAAAATTCAATTCCAAATGTGTGTAATGATGATCTTGCTCGACAAGAGTATACAGGTTTACCCAAAGTAAAAAGACCAACCTTTTCGTCAATTGGCTCCTCGAAATGATGAGATTGTTACACTGTGATGGCTCTAATAAGGGAAAAAGTGTCGATAAGGCCAATTCTCACATGAAACAAATCAGAAACGGAACAAAATCCACAACTTTTTCACTTTGTCCATTGACCGATTTCTGTTAACGTTTAACAACGGCACGAATTCGTACTGGTAGTTCAAAAATCACTTCGGTTCGGTTTTCACCGTATCGATTAAAAGTTCGAAATATAAATGGTTTAATTTAAAAATATTCTAGTAGTTAATGCAAAAATTCATTTTTCAGAGTAGTAACTGAATTTAATTTGATATATTTTTGAAAGTACAACATTTTTTGAGTTTCAAAATAAAATGTTGCATCGATTTTAATATCGACTTGTTGGTGGCGCCGGGTAGCAGCAACGGTACGTTGACCGGCGCACAGTGGGACGAAAGGCCCAAATCTCTGGCATGGGACAAAAATTAATTTTTTTCTATTCCAAACCCCTACCTATTTGCACCCTCTTACAACCCCTTAGGTATAAGAAAATGCAGCAATTTTCCTGGATACAAAGTAGCATCGTTGTGTATATAAAAAAAAGTATTAGAAATCGACAAGTGAGAGTTAAACATTCGTGAAATTATATTTCAACTTTAACTTTTTCTTGGTTTTCTAATGATGCTACCTGTTTTTTTCATACTAATGAGGTATATTGAAACTGAAAATAACACTTAGGTTTAATAAAATACTGGGTATATTAGATTGACAGTTGATGACACTTGATATTTAGTAACTTTGAGCATGTTGGGTGCATTTAAAAAAAGCTCCAAAAAACTGACTTCACAGTTAAGTATTTAATGAAAGAAATATGAAGGAATTATATCCCCGTTCATCCTATTTTGTCCGCAATACATATTGGAACAAGTGGCTTCTGTGGTCAAGGTCTATTAATACCAACCGTTGTTTCTTTACAGTTTTTATATTGTGGGATTAAGTAACTAGCATTATTGTTATTCTTGTTGCATTCTCGGTACTAACATTTTGTGACAATGTTTGAAACTAACGGTGATTTGTTTAATTTTTTACAAAATCCTACGGATCCAAAAAATTATCTAGAGACTATTATATTATGCTCTTCTCCTGAATAGCTTGTAAAGAAAAAGTTAAAGTTGAAATATAATTTCACGAATGTTTAACTCTCACTTGTCGATTTCTATACTTTTTTTATATACACAACGATGCTACTTTGTATCCAGGAAAATTGCTGCATTTTCTTATACCTAAGGGGTTGTAAGAGGGTGCAAATAGGTAGGGGTTTGGAATAGAAAAAAATTAATTTTTGGCCCATGCCAGAGATTTGGGCCTTTCGTCCCACTGTACAGCGTTCATCACTAAGAGTTACAGTCCCGTGTTCGAATCCTGGGTTTTGAACCCTTGTAAAAAAAGACTTGAAGCACTCAATTGCAATTCCTTTGTTTTATTATTACTTCTTATGTTTTAAGATCGCAGTTGAAACAAGATAGCTTCTTTTTTTCACAACCATTAGGCCAAACTTTTTTTGATGATTCTATACTCCAAAATATCGGACACATATTTGCCACTTCTTGTGATTAGACCCTGGTTTGCCAAGGAAAAAATATCAAAGCTTGATATCATAGTTTGTCAATAACCAAAAAATTCTAAAAGTCAAATATTATTCAAGTAAATTAAGTCATATTTTCTTTCTTTGTGAAACTAACATGAAACTAACTTTTAACACCTCTAGAGGCCCCTAAATATAAATGTTTGTTTAAATTTAAATTCATACATTTTTTTTACCTTGTAAATTTTACAGCTGTTGTTGGAATAACTAATTGAAAGGGCGCCGGTGGCCGCAATGGTTTAGGCGTTGACACAGCGCTCATCACTGTAAGCTTTGTGATGGGTTCGAATCCAGCGGCCCTGCATTCGAACCCGAAAAAAAATTGTCCTTATTTCAGAACTTTTTGAAGAATCTGGTGTGAATGAGTTTTTTCTATTAAATTTTTTTATTAAATTTTTTTTTAAATTTACATTGAACCACATTTATTCAATCTAAATTGTCGTTGTGTGAGTAAACATAGTTTTAGGTCCAAAACAAACTGGATTAGTTCAAACAGCCTAGGCTGTTCTGTACTGTTTGAAGCAAATTGGAATGATTGTTTTAGGTTCAAATGTGCATAAACCACACTGCCTAAGACAAACGTTTTATTTGCTGCAAACATCACCTAATAAAAGTAGCATACACTACACATTGTCTAAGTCCCACTGGCCAGAAAGAGACCGTTTGTGTGGATCGGCCGTCCCCAAATTGAAATGAAACCCAAAAATATCCTAGGGAAATTAAAGTGAAATAAAATTAAAGATAAATCAAATCCGCCCCCCCCCCAAAAAAAAAAGTTGAAATGACTATAATTATGAGATGGGGAACACAGCTTTTTAACGATGTATGGAGACCATTGAAATATATAACAGATTTCTATAAAAAAATAGGCAAATTATTTGTCAGAAATTAATGAAACAACTGTAACTATAAGAAGAAGAATGCAGCTTTTTAATGGTGTATAAGACCATTAAAATATATAAAAGATTTCTATAAAAAAATAGGCAAATTATTTGTCAGAAATTAATGAAACGACTATAATTGTAAGAATAAAAATGCAGTTTTTTAATGATGTACGGCACAATTAAAATATATAAAAGATTTCTTAACAAAAAAATTATCAATTTTTTTTCTTCTACGAATATAACAATGATTATTAGCAAAGCATAATACAGGCATGGATCACAATCCGTCTGCCGGAGGTTGTTGTTAAGAGAAAAAGAATAAAAAAAAAAAAAAAGAATTAAAGCGAGGTTATAACATTATTCGCTACATGCTAGTACACCATCAAAAAAGATTAAACATAATAGTAAAACTACTTCTAATAGAAAACAAACAGAGGGGAAAAGTCTTAATGATAAAGGGACAAAAAATCGGATATAATAAAGACATATATTTCATAATTTTAGACATATATATCAATCAAATCGGTCTGTATACAGTTGGCATTAACTGAGATCCCTTCCTCTCAGTCTGCTCTACCAAGTATTTTAATTTCAAATTGTTTGTCCAATGTGAATTTGGGGGGCTATGGCATCCCCAGAACCTAGTCCGAATGAAGCTTTAGTTCTTCCTTATTATGTGAGAAGGCTATTGAAATATTGTAATATGCTTCTCACATAAAAGATGTGCTTTTTTTTTCTTTCAAAGTTTAAAATTATTCAGGAAAATTAAAAGGCAATGCTGTGATTAAAAGCAGAATCAGAAATGTGTGTACTAGACTCATTGAATCAGCTCTGTAATAGCTTAATACAATATACTTAATGCACTTTTGCATTTTTATATCAACATTTAAAAGAAAATAAAGCAATAATATTATACACGAACTAAATTGATACCATGTAGACAATTGAAGTTGGGATAATGAAGAAAATATTCATTTCTGTTTGAGATGTGAATTACATGTTATTGAATGATAGCATTGCCGAAACTTGTTACCCAAGGTTTAATCTATTCCCAGATATATTTCCATTTTCCGGTATAGAAAGAATTGTTCATCAGATATTTAACAAAAATTTAATCTTTAAATATATTTTGAACCAATACAACTATAATATATAAAAAATTACAAAAACAAACAATGCATTGCCTTGTATAGGATTTAAGCTATAACACCAACCTATAAATGTAGAACTTTTACAATAAATATCGATTTACATGCGATAAAAATTTCATTCACTTGACTGCCCAACGCTCACTAGATACCTGGAACAAAGTTTATATTACCAAAATATACCCCCAAAATAATAAAGAAATACTCACTTATTTTGTTGACATCTCTCTTAATTTTTCTTAGGTTTTCCTGAAATTCTTTTAAGACCTTTGGCTTAACCTTCATTTTGTTTAAACGTTTCGTGAATGTATTTCTGAAAATTGTGTTGCTCAAAAGTAAACTTATAACTATGGCAAAATATTTTTTTGTATTTTAGCAAGTTTTAGTTGTTTGTGTGCACGTCAAATAAAATTATAATAATATAGTTAAATAACAATGGGTATAAGTTGTTAAACAAAGCAGTACTGACAAAAATAAATATTTTTTTAAATTGATAATCTATAGATAGTAATATATAAGTATCTATGTAATAGGTAGTAATTTATTGTCACATAAAAGTCTATGAATATTACTTTCAAATTTAATGGCTAAACTATGAAAATTCTTCAGTTGTTATTAGAGTTTTAAAATGTATAAATTGGGTGAATTTATATTCCCTAGTTTGCTTCATTTTCTGTCCACTATCGTGAATGCAATTTCTGTCATTTTTTTTAGTATGTTCAATGTAAGGTTTAGAAAAATAGATATACTCACAGATCTTGCACAGCAGCATTTAAATTTTTCAGTATTGGTTTCAAAGGTTTTAAGTTCTATAAATTACAAAAAAAAGTGATTTTTAACAATTACAATAAAAGTTACAAAACTTTGTATACATGCCTCTTCAGGATTAGAATATGTTCGGTTTTCAACCTTAAAAGAAAAAATTAATTACACCTAAAGGATACTACTTAATGTGATCATGATTCATGGGGTACAACCTTATTTTTATGTTCATGTTGTAATCTAAGTTGTTCCTCTGTACGAAGTCTCTCCCTAAGTTTCTTTTTATACTCCATTAGGTAACCACAAGGAATCATTTTTGGAAACACTGTGAATTGTATTTAATAATCAAGTTGCACTTAATTTCTCGATTTTAATTTTATCATTTACTCATGTTTATTTGCTGTGACACCATCGTTTCAATATCCAAGGAAGAATCAGACTCTGTATCTTCCTCATGGCATGGCAACACTTCTATTTCTGGAGGGATAAAACAATCAAGTGATTCTGTGGTTGCGTGAATTCTTTTTACTGGGATTTTTGATGATTTAGGAGCTTCACTTTTCCATAATAAGCTTAATATGACATAATTTATAATTTCTTAATTACAAATGGTCATTCGACCTTATTAATTTTTATTACCTAATTGATGTACACATCTGGGGGCTGGCCGATCTTTGCTTTTTCTATACATACACAATATATATATATTACTATTTTGAAAGTAAATTTTATTTTAAATTTGTATTTTAATGCAAAAATTATTGAAGCTATGCAGTATAATTGAACAAATGAAATTTAGCAGCTTAATTAACTAATTATAGTATGAATATATTATGAAAAAATTCTAAGCATACAGAAAGTATATGTTTATTCAGTTCACTATTTAATTCGGAAGGCAAGTGTTTTCTTGCAATTTTGAGTTTAACAATTTAAAAAATTTTTATTTCAATTATTCACCGTTCAATAAAAATTATGACATCACTTCTAAGGCATTGGTTGATAGATTTTTGCTTGTTTGTTCGAAAAAGTAGTATCATACCAAATTCATATTAAGTTTTAATATACAATTATAATAATCAATATATGTATTTAGTAGACACAATTGACCATATTAATTATTTCAATTAAATATACTTTTTATCTAAGGTCTTGGTTGAGATGAAAAAGTTAGTGTTACGAGCGGGATTCGAACCCATGCCCTTCGGCTCAATTCGCCGCTGCTCAACCACTTGAGCTATTGTGACTTCCATCCACTCGGACACCAACTCCTCATCTCAACCTAAAACCTTTAGAAATTTCCCTCTTTTTGCCATATTTTCAAATATCGTGAATCAGGATTCAATTCTTGGCGACTTATGAAGGGAGGTGTCAGTGAAGTAAGTACTTCTGTAATTATTATATTGATCCATATATGTATTAAGTAGTCATAATTGACCATGTTAATTATTTTAATTAATTATAGTTTTATGACTTGGTTGCTGAAGGTCATGGGTTCGAATTCCCCTCATGGCACTAGCTTTTTCATCTCAACTAAGCCCTTAGCTAAAAAATATAATTAATTACAATTATAATATTGAAGGTAGTTAATAATGCACCAGAGACAATGCATATTTAATATAATAATAGGCAAACCACATTTATCTCCCAGCACAAACGTAAACACAGCACTAACATCTTTCAGATTCACTCAAGATTATTAAAACAAATTTTTATAGTATGAAGTGATGGTTTAAAAAATCATCAATATTTTTCCAAGTGTCTCTTATTTTTTAAATAAGAATATATTTTAAATTCTCTTATTTTTTCTTTTTCTTTTTATGAGGGTATACACTACAAGGTAAAGGTCCTGGGATCGAATGCAGTGACCCCTGCAGCTTTTTGTTTTTTATTTATTTATTTTTAAACACCAGGACCCCAAGGGTACATATAACTTCACTAGTTTCGTGGTCCATTTGACCAAATAATATCTTACAATTAATTAAGGTTTTTAGTTGAGATAAAAAAGTCAATGACACGAGCGGGATTTGAACCCATGATCTTTGGCTAGATAAGCTAGATAGATGAAAAATGGCAAAAAGGAGGGAAAACTCAAAAAGGTGGGGTTGAGATGGGAAGTTGGTGTCCAAGTGGATCGAGGTCACGATAGTTCAAGTAGAGCAGCGGCATATCTAGCCGAAGATCGTAGGTTCGAATCCCACTCGTGCCATTGACTTTTTTATCTCAACTAAAAACCTTAATTAATTGTAAGATATTACTTGGTCAAGCAGACCACGAAACTAGTGAAGTTATATGTACCCTTGGGGGTCCTGGTGTTTAAAAATAAATAAATAAAATACAAAAATAAACAAAAAGCTGCAGGGGCCACTGCATTCGATCCCAGGACCTTTACCTTACAGAAATGAGCACTATGTCAACATCTAAACCGTTGCGGCCACAGACGCCCCTCACTACAACTTTGATCAATCTAGTTTATACTCAATGGCCAATATTTATAATAAAATGTGTAATCTAATTGAATTTTAAAACAACCAGGATTTTAAAAGAAAATGCTTACTTGCTACTTGAACTATAGCTCTGTGATGTGATATTAATTATGAATTATTTAAATTAATAATTTAAATTAATAATTTATATATTTCACAAATAATTTATTTTGATGAATCTAAGGTGTTTACAAAACCAAACTGACACTACAAAACGCTGCTGAAATCAATTAGGACATATGGACTGGAACTAAACTAATCGAGAACTGCTATAACAAGTTTAACACTAATGTAACACAGCCCATGACTTATGAGTAAAGCATAAAGAAATATAAAACAGTCTGTAAGCCCTGTCCTGATGCTCATTATAATTATGCCATTACAAGATAAATTTTAGTACAAATTTAAATGAATAAATCCAAAAATTGTAATTGATGATTGGTAGTAACACTGGGTTGGCCTTGTACAAATTCTAAGGGAAAAAAAACTATGGGGCACCACCAAACCTACCAATATCCAATAAATTCAGTACTTTCAATCCAAAATGTCAGAATCTTAGTCAATGCCCTCTACTACAGCTCCAATACAACCCTCCATAACGACCTCAAAACACCCTTTGTAAATAAATTGATCTCACCCAATTTTCTAGGTTCTCTCACCCGACTTACTGTCTAACTGATACAATATTAATGAAAATATTTTTAGTGAAACCCAATTTTCTGTAGGCCCACATGATTATTTATGAATAATGATCCTCCGAGGTACACTTATTATTAAAGTCCACCCCCAAATCAGTAACCAAGTAGACCTCTTTAAGAGGGACATCACCAATGGAGTTTTGTACAGAATACTGTACTGACAAAAGAACCTTTTTTTGTAGTAAAAGTAATGTAATGACATTTATGTGGAGTTTCAATCTTCATGGAGGCCAGTAGATAGGTGAAGAAAGGAACCTATAGTGCCATCATCAGGGCCTATTTTCTTAAAAAAATATAAAATATATACAATAAATAATATACAGTTAACAATTAACAAAATAAAATAATGTACATATTTCCCCAAGAGTGCAGAAAAATTAACATGGTAAAACTATAGTATGGACGTCTTGGGTTTAAGGTTATGAAGCACATGGCCAGCAAATTACATTATAATTATTTTAGACTAGAATTATAGACGCTAGAATTTCGTCGCTCTCTCTCCCATTAATTTTAATCCTATGTACGGTCTTTATAAATAGCTATAATTCTAGTCAAAATACTCTGTGATAATAAATGTTACTTATAAGAAATTGTCATTATTATGTATTTTGTCGCAAAATGTAAGCTGTTTTTGCCTCTACATAAAGTTTTTTTCATTCGATTCGATGCAACTTTGAGAATAATTTTGTTTTAAAATGTAACTAAAGAAGCTAATAGTTATTGTATGCTAAAGTAAACGTTGAAGTACTTTTATACTTTTTTGTATAGTTAACATCTTTTATGTCAGAAGGTAAAATACTCATTTATATCTTTTATTCATGCTTTTTTAAAACAACTAGTAAATATAGTTTTCATCAAATAAAAGCAAAAAATGTTAAGAACGGTAATCGTTCAAGTTTAAGTTTTAGAGTGAAGTTTATCGTAAAAGTAAGTAAAGAAAGAAATGTAAATACCGAAACGTTTACTACTCTTCTTTCAGGGAGCCACAACAACTAACTGCAGGATTAAAACCAACCTTTGTTTAAGAATTTCGCTTTATTTTTCCATTCGTCCTATTATTCGAAAAACAAACAGTAAATCATTTATCTTAATCTGGTCAAACCCGACAACCAGGGGCAAAAGTCGCTGAGTCAGTCTCACAGTATACAATTTTTTATATTGACGAAGGAAATAAAATAATCATTTACTAATTAATGAAGAAGAAGAAGAATTGCTAAAAATTAGTTATGCCCATGTTACGGAAAAATAACCCGTTGTGGTTTTTCTAATTCTTACTTCAAGTTTGTTATTATTTAAGTTTTTTCCCCAATATTTTATTACAATATGCAATTTTTGATTACAAGACGGCTATTTACATTTTTACTAGGGGGGAATAAATAATCAATATTATTCTCCCACTTTACTTCACTAAATAAACTTCACACTTCACAGCCTACTTCTCAGAAAGGAGGCCGCGGGGTCATTTCCTTCTGAGACCCTGGGATTGTAGGGATGGGTTGGACATGGCTCGGGCGAGATTATTGTGGAATGGTAAATTTTTTGTGGGGTTTACTTTATGGATAAATGGGATTTTAAGGCCGTTGTGGAGGGCAGTATTGGAGACATAATACAGAGCTTTTTTAAGTGATCTGAGGACTTTAAATTGAGAGGATTGGAAGGTTTACCAGCTCTCAGAGTACTATTCTGTATGTCTAAATCGGTTGTAGTAGCAAATGGAAATTTGTTTTTCGTTGAAAGCTTGGATCGTCGTCCTATAAATTTGTAGAGTAGACTGTAGTCTCTGTTTAGATCTTGTCGTTTCAGTCACAGATTCCACTTAAGCGTGAGTCTAGGTGGAACCCAAGGTAGTTTACGCAGTCGGATTCGGGGATAGGAACGTTGTTTGTACATTGGGAGAGGAGATTTGCTTCGGAGTGTAAATGTGACATGGACGCACTTGCTTTCCTTTATCCTCGTTTTCCATTGTCTACACCGATCTGCTATACATGTCATATGTCTCTGGAGATTTTCCGAAGCGACCGGGATCGTGGTTAGGAGATATACAGCTGTTTCATTGGCAAAAGATGCAGTAGGGTGGTAGGTGTAGTAGGAACATCTGCAGTATAAAAGCGGCCAGTGAGCAATATTCGTAGTAATCTGATCTTTGTCGGACATGAAAGAACCGCTCTGTTAGATAAGAGCGGAGGATTAAGTAGAGGGTATTTTTTTAATAATTGCAATTTAACAATGATCTTTGTCTTGAGCTTCTGGGACATAAGGGTAGAATAAAAAAACATCCCCTTAACTTGAGAATTAGTGCATTAATGTCCCCAATTGTGGCTTAAATTTCTTAAGAATTTCGCTCTTTTACATTTCTCTCGCTTTATTTCGCGATTTATCTTTTATCCCTGTTTCAATTAATTTATAATAAAATCATTTTAAAATAATACAACTAGTGTAATAAGTAAGAGTAATATTTTCTCTCCCGAACCCGTTCGTTTTTCGGCGTTGTCTTAAGACGTTTCTTTGATAATATTGTTAAGCGGTGCGACCACCCTCAAGTATCACGTTGGGTTGGACATCAAGCCGACATGTTTCGACAGGAATCGCTAAATGATGACTACCGTCGACTTAAAAGGCAAACACTGTTAAGGCGAAATATCTGTTAGTAAAATGTGAAATTGGCCTCTGGAAAGAGGAAGTGCTCGTTTACTCCCACAAACGTCGGACAGGAGATGAAAACGTCCTTGCAACTAAGACGGGGGATTCACTTTTTGGTATGACACGTTTTGAGACACTTTTCCTGGCCGTTTTGGCCCTATCGGCCACGGCAGCTGCCACCAGAGTGGGTACGTAATTAGCAGTATTCCTAAATTGCAGATTAAACGGAAGGACTGGTACGAAATTGCCAGCTTCGCTAGAAATCCCTCGGTACTTTTTCTTATATTTTTGATCCCGGTTCGCAGCAGCAGCTTTTAAAATGTACAATTGGATTATAGAATTGTTATTATTTCATTAATCACGCAAATAACTTTATCGCCGGTCGATTTTGTCGAAAACAAAGCCAAATTTTAAATATTTCTGAGCGATTGGCAAAATATGTTTTTTTGGCAAACAGTTTTTCCTCATCCTACGTATGTATATGCTTCTGCTATTTCTTAATAAAAAACGTTAACAGTTTGTTTTGCCTTGTGTGTATCGTTTTGAAGCATCTATTTTTATATCTGGTACGTCTTCATAGTGGATAAAAAGACTTATTTAGGACGTGACAGGTACCATAATGCATAATTTTGATCGTTTCCGAATTGATTGACAAAAATATTATTGATGGTTTAACAAAGGAAACTTACTTATTTTATGCTGGTACTTTAGGTACTGGAGGTGTCACTGACCGAAGTTGTGTCCGAAGTCGCCAAATTCTCTTATCTGTCGCATAACGGCCCTGGGTTCGATTCCAGGCGTTGCCCTTAAAATTTCTTTCGATACCAATCCACTATAACCGGATTTCCTGTAACTAGTATACACACACATGCCTACAAAACTTCAGGTTATCACTTTTCTAATTACACTGTTTGATTACAAGCATGATCCGTATGAAATTTTTTGAAGTGTGCTACCTAGGAAAATTCCGATTCGATTAAACACAATTGTCTGAATCTGCCTCACGATAGCTTACTCCAAATCTTGGAACGTTAGTGTATTTGAAACATCTGCATCAGGTATTAGTATGGGTCCTACGTTGCAAAAATCCATTTAGCAGTTACTTAAAACCTGATGAGGCGAATGATCATCTTGCAAATCAAATGAGTAAATGAGTATTTTCGTAATTCTACGCGAAAAGAACAGTTATAGTTGTTTTGAATTCCGCTAGTTTATTTTAAAATAGGAAACTGATTTTATATTTTTTTCCAGAACTTCAATACGAGCCAGCTAATAAAGAAGACATAAGAAACACTCTACTTTGGTACAACAGCACTAGCTACAACTACTGGGCCGACCGTTTAGACGAATTTCTTAAACGTAAGTTTAAAATCCAATCAAATTTATCTATCCCCGAAAATCGTCAAATTTCGAATCGCGAGCGGAACTGTGAACATTTTGTTGAAGAGGGCAATCGTAAACGAAAGTGCTCGATGTAATAAAATTGCACAATGTTTTAAATCAGTTCCCCTTGACGTTCACAACGGGTTACTTGATTAAATTTGAACAAGACTTAAAGAGAGGGAATTTACAATCAGACCTCGGTAAACACAGAGGCGTTGTAAATATGCCCCAGTCAAGATTTCATTAGGAAAATATCCCAGGATTAACAGCTGTCATAAATCAAGAGAGTAGATATACAGATAACATGTTAAATCCCGGAAAATAGGTAAGCGAGTATATTTCGCAAATTGCAATTTTATTGTTTTTTTTTCCAGCTTACAAGTTGCCTACTCCGAACAGGGCAGGATGCAGCCACATGCACCCCCCGGACCACGGCAAAATATGCAATTACAAAACGGAGACCTGGGGCCCTTGCGTCTCGTCGAACCGATACGGCTACAAAACCGGCTCCCCTTGCGTCTTCATCGAACTGAAAAAGGTACTCATTCCTCCAGGTCTTGTAGGGGTAGTTTTCATGTAGTGGTTTATGATTATTTATGAGATATTAAGAGGTAAACACTTGAAAAAATATTGATGTTTAATACACTTGACAGGCAAAAAATTCCACCCAATTTTTCTTTTTTCATTTTCTCGATAAAAGAAAATTCTGCCTTTAATTTGTCTCATTGCTTTTATCAATAAATATTTGTTTTTGCTATGTTTGAAATTGAGAATATCGATTAGAGGTAAACACCCTTAATCCTTAATCCAAAACAAGGATAAAGGTTTTTTAAATGTTAACTTTTTACATAATTTAAAATTTTTTATTCAGTCTCATTTGAATTTTGAAGCAGTAAACTGTTTAGGTTTCATCTTTGTTTTCTTAATTTCAATTTTTAAACTTAAAAGCTTAAGGCTGAGGATGTTGGGCGTAATGTGGCACTTATTTGATGATGGACGTTCCATCAGGTATGCGGCTATTGCCATCGGAGTTCCCTACGAAACACTGCGGGAAGGCGTTAGACGTTTTCCAGAAACTGAGCCATGGAACATAGAAGGCCTCGTTCTGGACGCCCTAGGGTAACAGAACCACAGACCGTTTTTTTGACTTTGGGAATTTTGCGAAACCGGCACCTTACTGTTGTTCAAGCGATTCATCAGCTCCAGGAAGGTCGAGGTCCAAATTTCTGAACACACTGCTCGAAGAAGATTAAATCAGTATGGACAGATGGCTTTTCGCCTCGTTAGAGGATCAGAATTGATCAGAACACACAGAGTAGCACGGCTCCCATTTGCTAGAGAACACAGCCATTGATCTTTGGACGACTTTTTACAGATGAGTGTAGATTTGCTCTCCAGATGGGCGTGAAAGAGTGTGGAGAAGGCGAAATGAAAGGTACGAAGCCTGTAATTTTTCCCATATTCAACCTTTTCAACGTAGCTCAGTGATGATGTGGGCGAGAATTTCCATGGAGAGTCGCACAGAGTTGGTTGTTGTTCGTGGAAGATCTTTGACGACCACTCGCTATGTGAATGAAATTTTGGAACATCATGCGTTGCCGTCCTCGATGAAATCAGCGACTTATTCTAATGCACGATGATGTCCGTCCACATAGCTCGCATAGTACAAACGTACCTTCATCAACAGCATAACATCAGGGTCTTAGCCTGGACAGCCCGTTCTCCACACTTGAACCCCATCGAGCATTTATGGGATAACCTCAAAAGACGAATAAGAGCACGTCCATCACTTCCTGATTCACTCCACCATCTTGAAACGAATCTTCGGGAAAGATGGGCTAACCTCCAGGAAAGAGACATTTCCTGACTGGTAGAAAATATGCAATATGCCGAGGCGTCTTATGTAATTAAGGCAAGAGTGAAAATCGCGATATTGAAATGCTAATTAAAAATCTAAAACAAAAGGAAAACAAATTTTATCTGTCCGGTTTTTTCATTTTCCAAGCAATTTACATTTTTTAAAAACTTTTTATACAAAGACTCAATTATAAAACGTTACAAAACGTGAGTCTATATATATTTATATACTTTACAGAAGACACCTTGATGTATATTTTCAGGCTTTCAATTGGAAACCCAAGTATTACAACTCGACGAAAAATTTGCCGAAAGACATGCCGGAAAGGTTGAAGGAAAGACTCGTAGAGCTGGAATCTTCAGGGCGGAAGAGAGAGGTAAGTCGTTCGCCAACCAAGTCGCCAAAACTCTTTCGTTAATTTATTCGATTTTCAGTGGAAAAACGTCTGGGTGACGTGCGACGGCGAAAACCCCGGTGACCGGGAGGCCATCGGTCCGGTCTCTTACATCCCCTTCCAAGGGTACCCAGGCTACATGTTCCCCTACACCGGTCAAAAATGGTACCTCAATCCGATCATCGCCGTCTACTTCCAGAAGCCGTACCGTAAGCCCAGTTTGATACCATAAAAGGACATTTTGAATTTGAGGTAGAAATTACGGCCTTGAAAGCGCGTAGTGCAAAGACACTGAGATTACGGAGATACGTTATCAAGTTAAGTGTGTGGCTCTAAAAACGAAAATGAAAATTTCTAAAAAATAATTCCTTTATTATTTTTTCTATTGCTCTTATGCTATCTATTGTTCAAACTTTAAACAAAACAATTTAAATCATTCAACAAAATCATTTACAAAAAAATAAAAAATGATAGTGTATATAGTTCTAATAATTCCACCTTCTTTAATTGAAAATAATACGTCATTTAAGTCATTTGTGGTAGATCGAAAAGATTGACTATATACTGTTCAGCTACATTTAAAAAAAGTGATTTCTTTCAATTAAAATTATTATTTTTACAATTATTCCGAAATCGTGAGATGCGGTCTGGTGTGATGTAGGTTTTAGAAAAAACATTTTCTTTATCGTGCCAACGTTTCGATCTTTATTGAGATCATCTTCAGGGCCTAGGATTTACAAACATTGTTTACATTTAACAAATACATGTAGGACGTGGAAAAAAATGAATTTATACAATGCAATGTATTTGTTAAATGTAAACAATGTTTGTAAATCCCAGGCCCTGAAGATGATCTCAATAAAGATCGAAACGTTGGCACGATAAAGAAAATGTTTTCTGAAAGCTACATCAGACCGCATCTCACGATTTCGGAATAATTACCGACTAGCGGTCACTAATCACCAAACATTATTTTTACAAATATTTTTTAAAATCTAGTTTCTCTGACCTTACGTGTTAAATAATTTCTGAATAGTTTTTTGAACAAACCTCTTACGTTTAGGAGCGCTTGCACAATGGACATTGGGGGTTATGTCGTGTCCATTAAGAAATTTCGAAAAGGAAATGGAACTTACTTATGCTTTTTACATCCTTATTAGGGTTTTATCTTCCTTCCTTATTACCGTTGAGTGTTAAAAGGGTTGGGTCTAACAATACAATATTTGTCATTTATGAAGGGATTTGAAATTTTTCCATTAAAGATTCCGACTTTTGTTTTCACAAAAGATCTAGAGTTATAAACGTAAAATTAAATATTCTCTAAAAGGGAACATTTTAAACAATACGAAAAACGAAAATAGACACCGAGTTAGGATTTTTCAAACTCTTCGGTCATTTGGACAGTAGTTTTCCTTCCAAACGTTGAGAATACGACAATAGTGCTATTAGATCGTCAAAGTGTTCTTTCCACTTAGGACAGATTTCGAGCAAGGTCTAATTAAAATTCATTTCAAACAGCCCCATTTACATCTATTACCATTATTCGAATAACATGCCGGAAAGGACGCTAAAAGAGCAATTTCAAGCAATGTGTTTGTCTTTCTACTTAAAACTCGAAATTGCTTAACGAGAGTCATTTTGCAAATTAGGAAAAAACAGACGAAATCAGTATCTTTTATCCACGTATTAGATAATTTACAATGTTTTGTGTACTTGTTACAGACGGAATGGTGATCAACGTGGAGTGCAAGGCTTGGGCGGCTAACATCAAGAGGAATGAACTTCAAGAAGAAGGCGTGACAAGTTTCCAACTGTTGATAGACCTCTAAATTGTTATTTTGTTATCAGTCATTAACATTATCTCCAAATTTGTTATTAATGCAAAATCGCCAAATCTAGCGATGGGCAACTTGAGATGTCGATTTAATCCTCTCTCAAGAGCAGCTTTGAACCAGAACTAATTCGTTTATTTTTAACGTTCATAAATCTAGCTCTAGTCGTACTCTAAGAAATGTATGCTATTCGAAAGCGAAAAGGTATTTTTCTTGCGACCTATGAAATTTTAAAAGTGTTTTATTTATGACAAACACCACAAAGGAGTTTATGGGTACGCCTAGAAATAAAGGTTCAAGATGTGTAGTCTTTTTTTAGCAAGCAAATCATCATTGTAGCTATTTTATGATCAATTATTCTAAATATTCAATTGTAAATTAATTATGGTTTTAATAATATTTTTAAATATATGTGTTAATATGTTTTTATATTTCATCCTTTCTTCAAAATTTCGAAAAACCATCACACGATTGGAAAATAATTCGACGACGTGATACTTGATTTCAATTTATAAACTGTGTCGCTCAAAATTTAATTTAAGTTTGACCGCGAACATAGCGCCGACTTGTGGGTTTTATTTAAATTTTCGTCTTGATATTTTTATAATTTGACGACTCTAATATCGGATGAGCTTTTTACTTTTTACGTTTTTCTTGTCTTATTAAATTTTTCACTACGCCAGTTATCGGATACATGATAATTAAAGTTAAATTACAGATGGCCATATAATTTAAAATACAATATAAAGTATACATTTAATATAATATAAGGTAAGCTTTTAATAAAAAGTAGAATATTAATATCAATAAAAATGATATACAAAAAAGGATATGAATATCAATGTTAAATTTACCTCTTTTTTATAAAAAATGTAGCTGCTGGTGTTGGGTGTAAAGTTCCGAAACATCCAAATAAATGTAAATAAGTAATGTATTTACTTTTTTATTAAAAACTATATGGAAATGTTTTCTAACATAAGCCAACAAATTAAAATAATTAAACATATTTGTTAAACATAATTATGAGGGGCGTCGGTGGCCACAACAGTTCCGTTGACACGGCGCTCATCACTGTAAGGTAAAGGTCCCAGGTTCGAATCCAGCGATCCTGCATTCAAACCCGACATACTTACAAATGGGCTTTTTTTTTCAAAAACACTGGCACCCCGAGGATTGATATAACCTCTGCTGTTGCAAACCCTCGTAAAAAATTAAAAAAAACATAATTTTTAAGAGGGAGAATCTTCTTAAATCTTCTTATCTGTAATATTAGCCAGAGGATGCCCACAAGCAGGGGTTCTTTTACCACCTGTGTGGAAACACTGGTAGACGAACTCGTACAAATACTGGAACAAGAAGGTCACCTTAACGGTTCCGTCACAAGGAAAAGGGTGATGGGAAGTCTAGAAATTACAACTTTATGCGAGACACCGTTTGCATTCTCCAATGAAGCCAAGGGTCACACTAGACCACCGGCATACATGGAATCCACATCTAATTAAAAACTACCAAATTGCCTGGGGGAAATGGAAAAGGTTCTGTGCTAAAAACTGAGTCCCAAAATGACCCTATGGCTGTATTATGAGACCAATACGTAGATGTATGGTTAGGGATGGGACGGTGGATCAAGACTTTCCAGGCTAAGGCGGTCAGATTATTAAATGGCATTTAAAGACAAGCTTGCTCCAATGTTACTAGAACTTGAGTACAACGCCAACTACGGCCTTAGAGATGTTGTTAAAACTTCCAGCGCTTCATATTCTAATCCAAAGAATCCACTGATCTAGGCTCACAGGCTCATAAAAGTACAACTATCTGTAAGGATAGGCCATGTTATCGAATAATGGTAACTGAGAGAGGAGATACATGCAGATGCCATAATAGTCACGTAATTCGATGCCACTTCTCTAAAATATAACTTCACCAACAAGTTCAAGGTTCTGATACCTGAAAGGAATACTTTGAAGAAGAAGTGCACCTCTTTTGGTGTGAGAATTGCCTTATCAAAGTAGCTGTACCGTAATGGGGGTTAATGCTTCACATTCACAATATCTGCCGATGTCTCCGGTACCTTCTGAGAGATTTAGCATATTTCTGTCCAAATGACGCTGTTCCTTTGCCTTCATTTTTGAGAGATTTATAAATATCGTAATTTGCCGCATACCTGGTGCTTTTGTGCGTGCTTGAGTTTTTCTTTCTCAAGCGATTTTTCCAGCACCAACTTATGCACACACTCTGGCGCCACTAGTCGTGGTTCAAGTGCCATGAATAAGAGGGCCGCTCGTTTTTTGGCTAGTGGTCAACCTATTCATTACCTTTTATACACCTTCATAACCGGGAACCAACTTTATGATAATCTGTTTCGTTTTTCCAGAGTCATTAGGCGATTTAGACACCGCAGACAAGCTTGGAGTTGAAAGTACACGCAGCCTTTACAGTTGCCAGGCTGTCTGAGAGTACGTAAATCTGTGCATGTTTCATATTGTTTTTTTTTTAACACCTGTGCACAGAGTTGTGGACCTCAGCTAGGAAAATTAGTGGGATTAGTCAGTTCAAACGGACTTTAAAAATGTATAGTTCGGCCCTTTTATCCCTACACCTACTGGCTATTACATCTTCGACCCATCTGTGAACTATATTAGGGCCCCTTCCTGAAACTTGGGGCTACCTTTCTTCCAAAGGTCTCTATTCATTATGTTGAAGGGAGATATCGAGAGATAGTTTGGTGACTTTTATTAGAAACATTTACTTCTAAAAACTAGTGAATGGGCAGACTTAAAAAATAGCTAAAAAACTCCTATGTTTGTTTTCTTATTTAAAAAGTTCTTAAAAACACTAAAAATGTAAAATTACGTGTATTTGTACATAGGAACATATAGGATAATGTAAAAAAGTGAATGTTTAACTATTTAATTTGTATATAAAGATTCGTAACATATACATTTAGGTTAATATTGTTATATTATTATGTATTTATTGTGCTGTATATATTACATGGTTTTATATATTTATATGTTGTTGCTTTGCCGGCCGATTTTTCTCTGCATTGCAAAAACCGATTTTATAATTGCAAAATTTTCGTTTTCAAAAAAAAAAAACCTTATCAGGAGATTCTGGAGATAATATTTAGAAATCGTACCCTAGGGAGAAACCGGATTGAACTAGATGGTAAACCACCAAAATTAAATCGTCCCTGCCGCCAAACGGGCATAAACACTAGAAACATTGTCTTTGTTTAAATTTAAAAGTGAAATATGAACCTTCTGGGTGTACTTTTCGAAACAGCAATTAAAAGCTAAGCAAGCAAAAGTAAGTTCGCCGTTCGTGTTCTTGTCACATTGGCTTAAGACGACTCTTTTTTTCTTTTATTGGTCTATAACTTTTACAAGATGCTCTATTTGCCAAATCGACAGCCGTATCGTAAAATGTGTGTTTTTACGAGCGAATTTCACCCTCACACTTTAATTGAAAAAAGAGTATTGACTAGATTCATCTAGGGAACTGTTTATTACATGTAAATAGCAAATTAATGCGGTTAAAAAAATGTGCACACTCTATTCGCCCTCGCCAAATTAGTAACATTGATGATTGTTTATATTAATTATCCAGAAGTAGCCAGACTAACAATAAGACGAAAAACGAAAAAGCCAATTGTGTGTACTTAGTTAAAACTGTACTTATTAAAAAAAAAAGCTGCAGTATATAACATATACAATAACCTACAGTACTAACAAGGGGACGACCAGGTTGGTGGGTAAAGGATTTGGACCAAACTTTTTTGGTGATTCTAATCTCCAAAATGTAGGACACGTATCGGCCCACTTCTTGTGAAGGTCCCCTGGTTTCGCCAAATTTTTTAAAAAGTTGAAATTTCCGTTTTTTAATATTTTTATTTCACTGCTCTACTTGGTCAAATCAATTATGTAAATATATCATTTTACCGCATTTTTTTAAATGTAGATTACAATAAAAACATAGCAAAAGCTATCAAAGTTTATCAATAACCAAAAAATTTCTAAAAACCAAATATTTTCAAGTATACTCAAATTTTTCATAAAATCAAATTTTTTTAATTCATTTATTTTTTACTTTTTTACTCAAATATGTTTTTTCATCAAAGAAAACACTTTTTTCAGTTTCACGTTTCAGATAGCATAGATAATCTTTTAGGTGATGAGGAATGTAGCCAAATAATTCTTTTTTGTTTTTCGTTGTTGTGTATTTGTACTTTAATAGAGAGAGGTAAGTGAAGCTAGAGGGGATTTTACACTTCCAGGATATTTTTGTTTTTAAATCTGCTAGTTTTTACCATCAAATGGCGAGAAATGCATCAATGCAAAATCAATAGTATCAATGTTCTTTGTTCCTAGGTTTATATATACAAATTGGTGGTTGGCCCTAAACTGTGCTAACGCAGTTGGGAGGGCATGGATAAAGGGCTTAGAGAAAGAATTAATATCCTGGGAAGACGCCAGGCTGCGCGTGGTAGAGGAAAAAGACCTTCCACGACCGCAGATAGTAGTGGGAAACATCCCAAATTGCCACACGGAAAGGGATACTATTGAGAAAATCCTTGGGTTTCTCAAGAAACCAAATGGAGGATTCCAAATAGAGGCCTACAAGTTTGTCGAAAGAAAGGAGGAGGACAAATTAGTGATCCTTACCATGTCCATCGATCAATCGTATCAAGTCGCATCAAGTCAGTAGAGGCTCTAAAGAAAATGGACGGAGTAAATTTCAGATTTTGTACAGGAAAGCTGAATATCAAATCCAAAAAACAAGACATGCAAGAAACGGACAAGCCCGGTTCCTCTGAAGGGATGGAGTCCTAGAGGAAGAGAGCACTACACCAATCCCAAGTACATCGGGTGTGCAGAAAAAGGAACCAACTCCGAAACCAAAAACCAATCCATCAAAAGGACATAAGCCCCAAGAGGAAAAGAAGGATCAAGGACAAAGAAGCAGGGAGGACATGATGAAATATAGACCTCCCCTTACCTCAGGACGTGGTAAAATTAGGCACCAACAACTTAGGGGATAAGAAAAACGAGGGTGGATAAATAAATTCCACAGTACTGGAATGCGTCCAGGTGAACCTGCACCATGCAAAGGCGGTGACCGACGGCCTCTTCTCCTGGAAACACCTAGTCATTGCCCTGACCCAGGAACCATGGGTAAGTGAGGCGTAATGAAAACGATACTATTAAATGCAGGTAAATTGGTTTACTGTAGGGATCATGATAAACCTAGAGCCGCCATATTAATGAACCCGAAGGTGAAGTTTTTATATGTTACAGATTACATCACCAGAGACCTGGTTGCAGTGCAAATAGAAGGACCATTCTTCTCGGGAATGGGCAAAACTATATGGGCGACTACCTATTTCCTAGGAGAGGACTTAAAAACACCTTCAGAACTGCAAAAACAACATCCACTTCATATAGAGGTGTGATGCAAAAACACGTCATATCAGCTGGGGGAGCACCGGTTTCAACAAAGAAGGTGAATCTCTTTTTAATTACTTATTAGCAAATAAAGTAGTGGTGAGTTGCAGAGGTACCAAATCAACTCTTTCGTGACTATTTCGAGAAGTGAGGACGTATATTAGTAACAAAATAAAAAAAGTGGCATGCTTCCTCGGAAACATCTATGTTCGATCACAGAATCATATGCTTTGTGGTGTAGGCAAATAAGTCAACACCGCAGTTTATCTTAAGAGGACTCTCAGCTCTATCAAGCATATCTTAAGCTAGAAACAGAAGGGCTAAACTTTGCAGTTAAAAACATACAGGGACTAGATCAACTAATTGAAAGGTTGACAAAGGCAATCATTACAGTCTATGGAAGATGAAACTCCAAAAACCAAAGGGACAAACAGAGATGTTCCATGGTGGATAATGAACTAAATGGCCTTTTTTCAAACTTTTCAAGAGCAAAAGGGACAGGCAAATGGGATGAATACAAAAACTCCCTAACTGAATACAATAAAGCTCTGAGAAAAGCAAAAAGAAAGACATTTCTGTAAAGGGATTAGATAGGCTTCCCATTTCGACCAAGACACAAAACATTCTAACGAAAGGATTCTCAGCCAAAATTATTCTAAAGGCAGATGGAGTAGAACCAACGACGAGAGAAGCACCCTGGAAGAGATGATGCGGTCCACTTCCCGAGGGCTAAACGTGTTGATGACAAACATAGACCTGGAAAAGACCGAGCAGAAGCTGCCAACTGCTCAAAAAGGCAAGGACTCGCTCGGGCAACATATTGACTCCCAACAAAGTTAAATTGGCATTTAATCCCTACAAATCACCAGGAGAGGACAATGATTTCCCCATGATATTGCAACAGGGATTAGAATAGTAGTTAACATTTTCAGAGCCATCTATTAACTAGCACATATCCCAGTGATATGAAGTCACACAAGGCTTGTGTTCGTACCGAAAGGAGGAAATTGCGACCCAATAAGCCTAACTTCCCTTGTCCAGAAGACCATGGAGAAAATTATAGGCCAAAAAATTAAGGACGATCATCTTGAAAAAAATCCTTTTCATGACCAACAGCATGCATGGTATGGTAAGGTATGGCAGAAAAGGATACTAGGAAGCGGGGTTTGTACGCCCCAGGCACTGCAGCCTTCTGGCTTATTGTACCTTAGTTCCTTAGTTCAGTTAATAGACTCAATCCTTCTTCTTAGAAGTATCAGGTCATTGACTGTTGCTGCTGCAATTTGATTCCCTAATTTTTTCCGTACGCTAGGTTAAACCTCCATTGAGCTGTTGCTTCGCATTCGAAGATGATATGAGTGGCTGTTTCCTCCTCCTCATTACATAATCTGCATATGGGATCATCGCTATATATACCCATGTTGTGTAGATGTTTTCTCAGATGCCAATGACTGGTTAGTAGACCTACCACTCCTCTGAGTTTGGCCCTCTCCAATTGCAGCAGTGTTTTTGCCAGTCTCGGTGAGGGTTGTTTCATCATAAGTTTACTATGTCTAGCACCGCTAGAGTTTATCCACTTCTCCTTTTGTTTTGCTTGGATCCATTCTGCGATGGAGGATTCTATATTTGTTTTTGTTATCCCAAGAATAGGTTCGGGGCCTTTGTATGGTCTTGCAGATCCTGCTCTGGCCAGTCTGTGTGCTTTCTCGTTACCCAAAATTCCACTGTGCCCTGGCTCGCAAGATATCATCAGGTTGTTGTGTTTCCCCAGGTTTTGGAGATTTTGGATGCATTCACTGACTAATTTTGATGTGATTCTTTTACATGGTAATGCTTTAATGGCTGCTTGGCTATCTGATCTTATGAGTATTTTTTTGTCAGTGTAACCACTTTTAAGATTTTCCAGGGCACAAGCATTGATGGCATGCATTTCTGCTTGACAGACCGAAGTGTACTTCCCTAATGAGTTTGATTGCTCATGTTTTGAGGTTGTACAGAAAACGCCTGAAACAGCACGCATACCAAAAGTTTAGATCCACAGAGACGGCCATAAACAAATTGGTGGAACAAGTTGTCAAATCATTTTAGGAAGATAGGGAAATAGCACTCTGTTGCATCATGGATATAGAGGGAACCTTTGTTAACACCTCGTACAAGTGATTGAAACAGATATACAAAGAAAAGGTATAGACCACCCGACTACGCTGAACTTGGTGATGAGGCCACCAGCCTCCGCCACACCACCACCGCCTCCGCCTAATATTCACCTCACCTCCTCATCGCCTCACTCCACCTTATATTTAACAAATATCTACTAAGATGACGAATAAAATACATTTAATCGATAGTTCACATCTTGAAATCACCTTTTATTGTATGGGAATATGCTGGACGTTTTAGAAAACATTCTCCTCCTCATTTTGTTGACTTAAATAATAATGATCTAAAATTGATAATGCTTTAACAATATATATTAATATTATTTTTTAACTTATGGTTTATTGTTATAATATAGTAAAATTATTAGTTACACATGAAGGTAGTGTGGTTTTAGGAAATCGATTGGTCCAGGAATCCAAAATTGAAGGTCCTCGAGTTGTATGTTTAGATATAAGTTCCAAATCATTGATAGGATGTAATTTTGTGGTAGATATTGGGAATAGGATTTTACTCATACATTCTGGGGGTCGGTAACTCAGCACATTGGACAACATATGACAATATGCTGAGGAGCAAATATCGTAAGAAGGGTTCATGTAAAAATGTATCTAGTGTTAAGTACTGGATCTCTAACAGATCTAATTTAATAAATTAATTATTCAGTTATAACGTTCAGAAAAGAAAAAATGTAGCAATAAAGATACTTGGATTTTTACAGTGACAAATGTATGTTGCATGTAAAAATAGAAACGACATCGGAATTAACGATATAATTATTCTTTATAAGCTACGGTAGGGAAAAGTTAAATCCTTCTACAATTTACTACTTAAAAATTAAATATTATTATTGTTAGATTTTACTTCTACGCATTTGTCATTCATGAATTCGTGCACTGATTTTTTCGCTTCTGTTTATTACGTGTCATGTTTGTCTCTTTTCGGTCCCACTTTCCAGAATTAATTGTTTGTCGGAAAGAGACCCGAGGGCGGCCGGGAGGACATGGAGGTGGGTTTATCTTTGGTATAAAAGCCATCACGACTCGTAGTGGGGAGCGCCAGTCGGTGTCTGCAGTTCCACAGTGCCAGTGACCAGTGCCAGTATGTCCAGGAAGGTCTCACCACCGGCGGCCGGCGTCGAATACGAGTGGGAGTTCGCGAAGCCCTGGGACGACAACAGGACCGCCTGGGAGAAATTCTGCACCACCCTGTACAACAGAGAAGAATGCACCGTCCTGGGCAGAACACCCAAAAATTGGTGTAAGTCATCACAGCGGCAGATGTCAAAACGTTTGCCCTTTTAGTAGCAATTTTTAAATTGTACCTCATGTGTCGGACAAAATTCGGTGCACTTTGAAAAGTAGTGAAACGTATTTAATGTCGGGACTAGAATGGGAAAAGTCAGGCTTTTCTACGTGAGTTGAGATACTGTAATTCGATAACACGAGTACATAATATTTACTTTCAACAAACAAATCTTATGTCATACCTTTAACGCCTTGTCACAAGGCTGGACTATTTCGAAAAACAGAATAAAATTTACTTATTAGATTTTAATTATCAAATTTTTACGTTTACAATTAATTAAACGAAATTAAAATTAACGAATCCATCGACGAGGGTGGATGATACACTCTTAACTTCGACTCTTTCGACTTGATCGCGAAGTCGTTTTAATTCTTATGGTTTTTTTTTAAAGCCAAAACAGATGAACCCAAACCACGACAGTCTTGACATAGACAGAATAAATTAACGTTAGAAATAAACAAGAACAACAGAAATGTAGTGCTAAAAATAACGTCAGTTTGTACAATCACGTTTAATTTCATTTTTGACTAAATAATTTACACAGTCAAATAAATAGTTAACAAAGCCGGATTATACGGTGCGTTGAAAAAGTTCAAATCTCATTTCACCATTTTAAAAGAATTTATTGTGATTTTATGTAAATATATTATGTATTATAATTTTTAGTGATATGTCCAAAAAAACTGTTGTTCAATTCAGTAGTGGTGAATGTTATTCTTTTAAATTACTTTTTATAATTAAGATTTAAAACTATTTTATGCAGGATTTCTTTGAATAAAAATATAATATAACGTTATAATTTTACTCATTGTGTCTATTAAACGAATTAATTACAATATTTTATTTAATGACCTAAAAGCTGTTAAAAAATGTCAATAGAGATAAGACTGATGTTTTGAATAACGTAAGTAATTACTTTGTTTTTTAAGGAATTCAGTATCTTATCGAAATTAATTGCAATAATCGGTTATTTCTAATTTCTAAACTTGGCTGTTTTCGTGAACATAAATAGGCTCAACCTTATATGCGACCCGTTATACATAGAATACGTGAAAGTTTTTCGTTACCCCTCCTTTCGACATTTAAGGTTTATTTCTTTTCTTTATATGCCCAGTTTTAGATGTTATTTTTTTATGATCATAACTGACTATGAACGATGAACTAGATTATCGACCTGCTGGAAACATTGTCTTTTCGGAGGATCTACGGAAGAGGTCAAATACAGAGAAAACTTCCTTTCGGTTTTCGCCGAGCTTTCGACAGTTTTATACTGTCATCTTCAGGGCCTGTTTTATTATCATATAAAAAAACAATTAAAACATGAAAACAATTTGTTTTTAAAAGCTCGGCGAAAACCGAAAGGAAGTTTTCTCTGTATTTGACCTCTTCCGTAGATCCTCCGAAAAGACTTCATAACTGATTATATCTCATGGGATGAATTATTTGTGAAAAATGACTTTTATGGTAAATTGAACGATTTAGTTTTAAATTTATTGTGTTGAGATGGGTTCCGTCTAATAATTTCATAATTTAGTGGTTTTTTTTTGTTAAAATATACAGGGTGATACATACGCTCGTAAGACAATATGAACCGTGGTCCGATTCTCAACTTTTTCGCAGATATTCAACAATTTGTTTTTATTTATTTATTTTTTTCAACTATCTACGGTTTTTTACATTTTTGGAGAACCAAAGGAAAAAAACAACCTAAATCTTACAAAGACTGTTAAATTTAAAATTTATAATTTTTTAAAATTTTATTTAAAAAATGCAATTTCTTCTTAAAGGAAATGGAACGCTCTTTTCAATGTTTTTTAATTTACCCAAAAAATGAATAGTTGAAGAGCTAGGAGTAAACTTATAACGAAAATCGCATAGTCGGAAAAAAACAACAACATAAAAGTTGAATATTTGCGATGGGGTTAATCTAGTAATTCAACTTTTTGTCTTGGAAATTTTTTTTTTCTCAACTACTTATTGTTTTCACGTAAGGTCTTGGTTGAGAAAAAAAAGTTAGCACCAGCCGAAGGTCGTGGGTTCGAATCCCGCTCGTGACACTAACTTTTTCATCTCAACCTTGACCTTACATAAAAAGAATAATTAATTGAAATAATTAGCATGGTCAATTTGACCAATAAACATAAATGGATTCCTCAACTTTAACTTAATAAAAAAGCACAAAAATCAATAAAACAAAAAAGAGAAAATGAACATGGCGAACAAGCAAAGCCGAAAAATCGGACAAAATATCTACATTAATCACAAACAAAATAAGAACAACAATACATAAATTGTAAAACTGAACTCTAACCTATTAAAAACTTTAAAAAAAATTAACATAAAAATCAAACAAAGCATATACAAAAGAGACAATGAAGATAGTGAACCAAATTACGTTGGATTTTTCATTTTTTAAAACTTTTTTTTATTTATTTTCCATACTGAATAGGTGTAGAGCTAAGAGTAGATTTTTTACGAAAATCGCAGATAGCCTAAAAAAACAACACATAAAATATTGAATATTTGCGAATGGTTGAAGATCATACGAACGTTTTTGTTGCATTTGAGGTAGAAACACCTGACAAACTTTGTCGTACGAGTAGCGAATCATCCTGCATACAATGATTCATGATTTATAAGATTCATTCGGTTCCCTTATCAAATATAGTTTGATTTTACATTCGACCGTTCCAGTATTAATTACAATTATTAATGAGTATGTCCTGAAGTTTGAAGTCCTTTTTGAGCCCTATGTATTATTTAGTTTTATTGCCATAAATTTAAACGTTTTTGACAATTGTATGATAAAGCTTTTAATTTTATTGCTATAGGAAGCGGTACTCGGTCGGGAGTACATTGATGTGCAGTAGATATCCATAGACGTTTAAATAGTATCCACATTTATGTATTTATTTTTATTGGTTTCTTGTCTTCCATATTAGCCAGAGGCGAAATTGATTAAATATGGTCAGGCTTCGGTGGGAATTGAACCCACACCGCGGGGGCTACGACCAGTCTAGCATGCAGACCACCGGGCTATCGCGATCCCTATCCTAATTTTGTTTAAGGATATTGTTAGCGCAAACAGCATTTTTTGGGATCAATAAAGTAAAATATATCGGACAAACCGGTTAAAACCCATCCTTATCAGAAAATCCTTTCGGCGAGGGGACTGTTTCATTTCATTTTATAAAACACTCGGTCAAGAAAGGTACCTTCTCAAAAAATACTAGGAGAATTATTACTTGGAGATATCATTTTAGATAACTATCATATCAAATTTGTCGTTATACATTATTTGTGACCAAAGTGACATTTATAAAGTTGTATTATATTAATCGCGAGGAACTAAAAGAATATTACTTTTCAAGCAAATTCCCAACAAGAAATGGTTCATTTTGTTGAACACTTTCACTTTGTATTTTTATTTTTAGGCTAGATTTTTTTAACGATCAAAAAAGCTCATGTTGAATTTGGTTGAATGTGGGGTAAATAAATAAAATACAACTTAAACAAGAAAATGGGAGATCCTTAATAACAAAATTATTGATCATTGCGGCAACGTTTTGTTATTTGTGATAAATATTTATTATCATATTATTCATGAATGTAGAGAAGAAATTTGCCAAATTCCGGTGTACGATTTGTTTAGGTAATTTTGTGTTGGTAAATCTTTAGTAAATACATAATATAAATGTAATTATAATAAGGGAAACCTTTAGATTTTCACACTTTTCACATATTGGATTGTTCGACCCTTCCTTCTGCACGTAAATCTAAAAAAAAAAAAAAAAAAGAAAAGAAAATAACAGTAACGACTGAACTAAATCTGTTTAAATGGTTATTTGTGAGAGTATCACCCCACAGGCACACGGAGATATCTCACAATTTGGCAAAATGATGGTCTGGCAAAGTTGCCTTTCTTCTTTGAAATTGTCGAACAAAACTTTTTTATTTATTAAGCCAAGTTGGATAGTTCATCGAAAAAAAATGAAATTTACTTACCTGAATGAATTTACTACTAATTTCTGTTACAATTTTTCTTTTATTTTCTATTTGTTTAACTTACTTTTTTTCTTCCAAACATGCATATATTTCTTAACCACAAAATTATGCGATGCATTCACCTCTCTCCATATAATATGCCGTATTAATAAATTAAAAATAACCTTTATTTTCACACCCTCTAAACTTCATATCCACATATGTATATTTATTTAATAATATTTTTACTTTCTTGCCATATTATTGCTATAAAACCTTCAAAAAAGGCAGAAAATCTGTCGACCTGCAAAATTGTCAGATAATTGTCTTTTCTTTTTTGTCATTGTTATTATTTACTGATTAATTAGAGATTTTCATTTTTATTTTCTTTATCGATCTTCCTACTTCCTTCAGAATCAAACGTATATAAACAAAGCATATTAATATCTCACTAACACTCTCAACACGATACACAATAATTTATCGTGCCAACGTTTCGATCTTTATTGAGATCATCTTCAGGGCCTCGGATTTACAAACATTGTTTACATTTAACAAATACATGTAGCAATACATGTAACAATACCTGTACATATGTAACAACTACATGTATTTGTTAAATTTAAACAATGTTTGTAAATCCCAGGCCCTGAAGATGATCTCAATAAAGATCGAAACGTTGGCACGATAAAGAAAATGTTTTTCTGAAACCTACATCACACCAGACCGCATCTCACGATTTCCGAATAATCATCGACTAACGGTCACTACTCACCACACAAATTTAAACAATGTTTATAAATCCCAGGCCCTGAAGATGATCTCAATAAAGATCGAAACGTTGACAGGAAAAAGAAAATGTTTTTCTAAACCTACATCACACAAGGCCGCATCTAACGATCTCTAATTAATCATTAATTAACGGTCATTAAATACCACACATTTTTAATTACTTAAAAAATAATATA